GGGGAGATGAGAGAGTATGTCATAATGGCGGCTGGCTCCATCGCCCGGTTCTTTCGCCTTCCCTCCATTTCCCCGCTGATCTCCAGAGGGAAATTGTTGGCCAATGCAAAGAGAAGGCCGTGGCGTCATCTGTGCGAGGGAAACGCTGGGCCTCTCAGATGAGGTTTCGAGCTGAACATTAGCCAAGACAACCATGGGGCGATTTCAAGGCCGGCTTGTCGGGAAAGCTGGCTGTGTGAGTGTATCAAACAGGCAGCTTGTCAAACTCAAAGTGGTATACATGGTCCTCGTCACCCTCTGTAGTATATTCACAACAACCCTGTGAGGTAGTTTGGCCTGAGAGTTTGTGACTGGTCCAAGGGCACCCAGTGAGCTTCATGGTGGAGAGGCAATTCGAACCCGTGTCTCGGGAGATTGCCTGCGAAGTTGGTGTAGACCGTACTGAGCTAGGTGGACCTATGGTCTTATATATCATATAATTTTGGAAGGGTTCCGGGGGTCATCTAGTCCAACCCGCTGCAAAGCAGAAATCAATCATTTGCCCAACGTTGGGTTCGAAACCCCGCATGGAAGTTTTTAATGTTTGATGTTTTATCATGTTCTTAATTTGATCGTGCTTTTAATAGTCTGTTGGGAGCCGCCCACAGTGGCTGGGTAAACCCAACCAGATGGGCAGGGTATAAATTATTATTATTATTATTATTATTAGTCATGCACACGGCCATCTGAAGGGTTGAACTCTGACCTCCTGCTCCATTCCCCATGCCAAAATATCTCCTCCCTACCGGCGCCACGCCCCAGATCCCTTAAGCAAAAGAGGACAGTGGTTTGCATGAAATGAGCACCGGCCTGTTTATATGTATAGATGCACATTTAGAAAGGGCAGCTATAATTCAAACAGAACAATAGAATTGTAGGATTGTAGCGTTGGGCCCCAGGGTCATCTAGCCCAACCCCCTGCAATGCAGGGATCACAGCAGAGGAATCCCTGATGGGTGCCCATCCAACCTCTGTTAAAAACCCACAATGAAGGAGAGTCCACCACCTTCTGTGGGTGCCTGTTCCACTGTTGAACAGCTCTTTCCGCCAGAAAATTCTTCCTAATGTCTGGAAACCCAAGAGAAAACCAAGGGATGGGAAGAGTGTGGCCACATCAGGCTGCTGTGTGTTTGAAATATACTCAGAGTCAAATGTGAATTTCATGCTGTCAGGGGTTCAGGGAGAGAGGCACAGGGTAGGCAGGAGATGGAGAGCGATGGGGAGGAATTCCAAGCCAGCGAGGAAGAGGATGACAATGACTCAAGAGATTCCATGAGTCTTTCCAGCGAATCAGAGGATTCCCAGAAGGGGCACCGGTGGTCAAGGCCAGGGAGCCCCAGGGGGGACGTGTCAGGAGCAGGGTGCCAGCGGAGGATCCCAAAGTGGCAGCTGGGCGTCAGGACCAGCCTCCCCACCAGAGTGCAGCGAAGGGGGTGGAGTTTCCAGTGTGTCAGAGGAAGCAGCTCCGGCAGCAGAGAAAGGAGGGGGGTCAGAGCAAGCCGCCCTCCCGGAAGGGGAGGGGAGCAGTGAAGGGAGTAGTGTAACTGTCAAAAGGAAAGTTAGAGGTTTGGCGCGCGCGCCTAGTTCAAATGGAGAGGCGCGCGGAAGTACAGGGAGCCCGGAGGAGGGGCCAGGTCCCAAAGCCCGCAGGAGGGCGGAAGAGCAGTCTGATTCCGCGTCAGAGGAATCCAGGAGGGCGAAACCCCAGCGGGCAGAAGGACCCTGCGGAAAAGGAAGGAGAGAAAGAGGTGGAGCAGCGCAAGTCTCTTAAATTGGTGCAGGGAGGGACTGACTCAGAGGGGACTTCAGCGGTCTAAGCGTAAGAGACGTAAGGCTGCGCGCCTAGGATGTCAAGCAAACAATGAACTGCAATAAACACCTTTGTATATAAGAAGACATAGGCGTTGGTCTTTTGTGAGCTGAGACTTGAGGCAGCCTTGACACATGCTCTTTATTCAGCTCGTAGTAGCAATGAATGAAACTTTCCCCCCAAAAGTCTAGCTATATATATATGTGTTATTTACACAATGGGCCCCACGTGATTGGCTAATTCCGGGCTGCTCCTGTAGGCCAATCAGGTTGCAGATTCACCTCCTCCAGAAGCCTAATTGACTGCTCCTGCAGGCCAATCAGGTCACTGATTAACTTCCACATGGAGCTGGATTGGGTGGCTCCTGCGGACCAATCAGACTGCTGCATTCTGGATCCTATTGAGCTAGGATTCAACTCAGTACACAACACCTGGTAATTTCAAGGCCGCCTACTGCTTTAAACCAGACTTGCCCTCCAAATACAGTGGTACCTCGGGTTACGAACTTAATTCATTCCGGAGGTCCGTTCTTAACCTGAAACTGTTCTTAACCTGAAGCACCACTTTAGCTAATGGGGCCTCCCGCTGCTGCTGCTGTGCCGCCGGAGCACAATTTCTGTTCTCATCCTGAAGCAAAGTTCTTAACCCGAGGTACTATTTCTGGGTTAGTGGAGTCTGTAACCTGAAGCATCTGTAACCTGAAGTGTCTGTAACCCGAGGTACCACTGTAGAGGACTGGCCTCTGCAGAAACCTAGTCTCTTGGAATCAGCTGAGTAAAGTAAACTGGTTGCACACTGCCATCTGCTGGCACAAAACTGTATCATATTTAATGCATATCGGAGATGCGGAATCAGTTGCCCTCCAGATCTCCCACCATGCATAAAAAGAGCCTGCTGGATCAGGCCAATGACCCATCTTAGCCCAGCATCCTGTTCTCACCGTGGCCAGCCAGATGCTTGTGGGGAGCATGCATGCAGGATTCAAACAATCCCTGATCTTTAAAGCGGGGAGGGAGAACAGTTTTGGGACAGAGATCCCCATCAGGCCCAGCCAGGGAGAAAAGTTGGGTTCTGCTAATGCGATTGGATGGGAGCTGTAGCCCCCCAAACCCAGAGGGCGCCAGGACCTCAAATACTGATTTGCCAGATGCTATGGGGAGAGACTTCTTGTTGGCATGTGTCTCGAGAGGCAATGGAGTGTACCTCCGGGGGTGAAGTTAAACCACTGTGTTAGCAGCATCAAAGTGACCTCCCTGGGATGCAAGCCTGGGCAGTGTGTCTGGAGGCCCTGGGCTGCCCAGATGACAAGACCCCCCCCCCCGCCTCACTGATGTGGTCCAAAGGAAAACAACAAGACATTTGGCACCAGCTTGGTTGCAGGAGTTGCAGGAAGGAAGCAGGCAAGGCTCCATCCAACTGTCTTAGGGACTCCACTCTCGATCTGTGTAGGGTTTATTCCTTAGCCTATCCTGAAGATATCCCTCAAGGCAGCAGAGGTTAAGGGTCAGAGTTCTCTTTTTCCTAGAAGGGCTATGTTCCCAGGTTTACAAGTCCCATTTACCCCTCGTTAGAGGGATATACTAAGGACTGCTAAATCATGTTTGTTTTGTTTATTATCACATTTACCTCCCACATTTCCTCCAAGGCGTTCAAGGTAACATACCTTGTTCTTTTTTTTTTCTTTTAAATTATATTTATTAAGTTTCCAATAAAAAGAACACATCAATAAAAAATTAAACATAAAAAAGAAATACACAATTTAAAAATACACAATACATAATCAAAAAAACAACAACAAAAAACAAAAGACAAAAAAGAAAACAGTTAAAAACAATACCACCTTTTCATCTCCATTTTTAAATTTACTTATTTTCTGGACCTCCTCATACCTCCCTCTTTTGTATTCCAGTTCAAATTGTTTGTCCAGCAATTTCTTTCCCTCTTTTTTAATCCCAGTCTTTAATCTTAATATAATATAACATTAAATTTTACCTCTTAAAAACCAAATTTCCATTTCCTTTAACTTTTTAATCCTAATCCTTAATCTTAATCTATATATAACTTTAAATCCTGTACAGCTGGAAGCCACTTATTTTCAATCCAACATCACTCTAACATTCTTTAATTTTGCAATGTTTCTGCAGATAGTCTTTGAATTTCTTCCAATCTTCCTCCACCGACTCTTCTCCCTGGTCACGGATTCTGCCAGTCATTTCCGCCAGTTCCATATAGTCCATCAGTTTCATCTGCCATTCTGCCTTGTTCTTCCCCTCTGCATTTTGTCTTCACAACAACCCTGTGAGGTAAACCAGGCTGAGAGAGTGTGATTGTCCCAAGGTCACCCAATGAACATCCTGGCTCCTAGTTTAATGTTCTAAACCTGGGGTCAGCAAACTTTTTTAGCAGGGGGCTTTTTTAGCACTGTCTCTCAGACCTTGTGGGGAGCTGGACTATATTTTGAAAAAGAAAATGAACGAATTCCTATGCCCCACAAATAACCCAGAGATGCATTTTAAATAAAAGCGCACATTCTACTCATGTAAAAACACAAGGCAGGCCCCACAAATAACCCAGAGATAAACGGCCTCGGTCCAGTATACCTGAAGGAGCATCTCCACCTCCATCGTTCTTCCTCTCTGCAAGAAGCCAAGTTACAGGGAACCAAGCAGAGGGCCTTCTCAGTAGTGGCACCCGCCCTGTGGAATGCCCTCCCACCAGATGTCAAAGAGAAAAATAACTACCAAACTTTTAGAAGACATCTGAAGGCAGCCCTGTTTAGGGAAGCTTTTAATGTTTAATAGGTTATTGTATTTTAGTGTTCTATTGGAAGCTGCCCAGAGTGGCTGGAGAAACCCAGCCAGATGGGCGGGGTATAAGTAATAAATTATTATTATTATTATTATTATTATTATTATTATGATCATTATTTAAATAAAAGGGCACATTCTACTCATGTAAAAACACGCTGATTCCTGGACCGTCCGCGGGCCGGATTGAGAAGGCGATTGGACCAGATCTGGCCCCCGGGCCTTAGTTTGCCTACCAATACTCTAAACCACTACACCACACTTGCTCTTTCTATGGTGAATATAAACAAAACTTTGCAATGAAACATATTTGGAATTGGGAAGAATAAAACACATTGAAGGGCTGGTTTTCTTTCATGCACAGTTTATTTAATGGCAACAAAACCACTTATTATTATTTCCAGATAAAAGTCCACTTTGGGTGCCAATACGCATAGTTCTCTTGCTGCTTCTCAGGAGGTCTTCCTCCGGTTTCCTGCAGCTTATGGATCCTTCTGGGCCATCATCTGCAGCAACGCTGGCGCCCATTGGTGCAGGTGCCAATGGGCCTTTCATTGTAGAAGCAAAGTCTCCGGCAATGTCCATGGTTGTAGTGGCACTGCAGGCTGTCATAGAGGTCTCCCGGTGCTGTTCAGAGAACCACAGGTTTGAGTAAAACTGAGACCCACCAAGGCAAAAACTCTGCAAAAACCCACTTACAGCGAGACCAGTGTCACTACAAAGAGTTCAGCCTGACTGCTGTACTGGCAAGAACCAGTGATCTAAACCACTGAGCCTCTTGGGCTTGCCAATCGGAAGGTCGGCGGTTCGAATCCCCATGACGGGCTGAGCTCCCATTGTTCTGTCCCTGCTCCTGCCAACCTAAAGTTCGAAAGCACGCCAGTGCAAGTAGATGAATAGGTACCACTGCGGCGGGAAGGTAAATGGCATTTCTGTGCGCTCTGGCTTCCGTCACAGTGTCCCGTTGCACCAGAAGCGATTTAGTCCTGCCGGCCACATGACCCAGAAAGCTGTCTGTGGACAAACGCCAGCTCCCTCGGCCTGAAAGCGAGGTCACCTTTGGCTGGACTTAACCATCCAGGGGTCCTTTACCTTTACCTTACCTTTACCTGGGGACTCGGGTGGCGCTGTGGTCTAAACCACAGAGCCTAGGGCTTGCCGATCAGAAGGTTGGCGGTTCGAATCCCCGCGACGGGGTGAGTTCCCATTGCTTGTTCCCTGCTCCTGCCAACCTAGCAATTTGAAAGCATGTCAAGTGCAAATAGATAAATAGGTACCGCTCTGATGGGAAGGTAAACGGTGTTTCTGTGCACTGCTCTGGTTCGCCAGAAGCGGCTTAGTCATGCTGGCCACATGACCCGGAAGTTGTCTGCGGACAAATGCCAGCTCCCTCGGCCTATAGAGCAAGATGAGCGCTGCAACCCCAGAGTCATCCGTGACTGGACCTAATGGTCAGGGGCACCTTTACGTACTGGCAAGAACCAGTTTAGGAGGAACCTAACTTATAAAGTGAAAAACAACTCCAGATAAGGTGCAAGGAGGGTTCTGCATGTGCAGTAAAAAGAAAAAGAAAAAAAAGGAGTTTCCAAGGGCTGTATGAAGAGATGGTGAGGCAATGGGTGGCCTCAGCTGCACCCCTATCTAGCTCAGTCCTTCCTTCACTGATGGCAGCGGCTGTCCAGGTATTCAGACAGGTGTCTCTCCTAGTGCTACCTGGAAATGCCATTGGAAATTGAACCTGGGTTTTCTCCATGCAGAGTCAATGCTCCACCACTGATCCACAGCCCTTCCTTGTGGCTGTTTTGTCCCTGGAAGTCAAAAGCAGCTGAGCAGCGCTTCTGATCTGTTTCGCCCTGTTGCCTCCTCTGTGCCTCAGTTTCTCACCTGCAGCAGACTGGCAGAGGAAGAGGAGAAGGACACACAGCAAGTAAAGCATCCTCATGATGCCTTTGGGTCCGTGAGCAGAGGCTTCGGCGGAGAGGAGTCTCGTGCAGCGAAGCTTTCCTGGCTCAGGAAGCGAGTGAGCCGAACAATCTCTGTGTTTACAGAGGGTTAGCAGGCTTGGGAAACATCCCCAAGGGTGGGCCAGGAAGCAGGCCAATGCGGTAGCCCAACCCAACTGAGACTGGCACAAATATAACCTTTTGGGATGTGAAATCGCCATTACGTAACAGCCTACGAGGCTGGCTGGAGACCAAGGGAGGTGTGTTCTCGGTAACCTGGAGCAGATCCATCCTTTTGATGCAAGACTTTCCTCTTCTTCTGGCCAAGTTGTTCCCTCAAGCGGAATTCTGTCGGGATTCTGCAGCTGAGCAATGATGCAACATGAACATTGGCAAAGATTTTTTTTTTAAAAAAAAGTGGATCAGGAAATTCCACCTTTAAGAAAAAGGAAGAGGTGAGGGGACCAGGAGTGCAGGTGAAATAATACAAACAAATTATAACCACAAGATAGTGTTGTAAACAAAATCTGCCCTTTCCCCCTCATGGGGTATCCAAGAGCCCATGTAGAGTCCTTACGTAGGTTCCCTATTGGTAGGAGAAAATAACAGAGGCCAACCGGAGAATACTGAGAAGCAAAGCAGCTAGCAAGCCTGATCTTTATTGATCTGTTGCAACAGGGTGCTCCCCTCACCCGCAGGAGGACGGAGGAGGAACCCAGAACAAAGGTGTGCCTGCCCTTATATAGACATTTCAAATTCCCTGCCCTGGAGCTCCAGACCACCCCTCCATACATCATACATACATCACAGAAGAGGCGGTCTACAGCAGAAATCTGAGTGCATTATTTATCTCGTCTGACAGGTTACCTGTTAATGCTCACTTGATTGGATACCCTGGGGAGCCTGGCCAGGCTTTTGTTATGATAAATACTTAGTTCCTGAGCCAGGTCACAGGCTCACCCTATTCAAAGACATACCCTTAAGACAGACAGACCCTTAAGCCAGGATTTGTGAAGGAAATGACAATGAGGAGGCTTTTCCATTTTCCTTTGAACTTGCAGAGAAAACATTTGGTCAGTTTGGGAATAAAAAATGGTTTCAGGTCAGTCTTCCTGTGCTGATCTATGTACGTGCTTGGTTGGTACATTTAGAAGAAGAAGAGTTTGGATTTGATATCCCGCTTTATCACTCCCTTTAAGGACTCTCAAAGCGGCTAACATTCTCCTTTCCCTTCCTCCCTCACAACAAACACTCTGTGAGGTGAGTGGGGCTGAGAGACTTCAAAGAAGTGTGACTGGTCCAAGGTCACCCAGCAGCTGCATGTGGAGGAGCGGAGACACGAACCCAGTTCCCCAGATTATGAGACTACCACTCTTAACCACTACACCACACTGGCTCACATTTATGAACATTTATTATAATTCTAAGACCTTAAAATTCTTATCACAACAGCAGAATTCTTTTTTAAAAAATAGTTTTTATTGGTTTTTCGATATATACATCCTTTATGAAACATCTCTCTAACAATTTTCCATTTTTTCCTGCCCCCCTCCCCTGGACTTCCCTCATACTTCCACTTTGTTTTACTTTCAGTTTATTCATCCTGCATATTATTTCCCCAATTAATCCCTAATACCTTTACAGCTATTTTTTAATTATTATATACATTTGTGAATGTTTACTCAAACCCTGCCGATGTGTCCAACTCTTCATGTTGTCTCTTCATATATATTGCAAATGGTTCCCATTCTCTTTTAAAGTCTTTGCTGTCCCTTTCATGTAGTTTATCCGTTAATTTTGCTAATTCTGCATATTCTACAAGATAGCAGAATTCTGTTCAATGGGCAGAATGGTGTTTCCGGAGAGGTTCCCTGGCTGATGCCACAAATCCCGTGTGCCGTTAGTTGCACAGTCAATGCCCTTTTTGATAACAGGCACAAGGAGTTCTTTTCTCCCCGTGTGACGTCGCTGAGAGTAGATAAGAACGCACCACAATCTCCTGCTTAACTGGACCAAAGGTCTCTCTAGGTCTCTCTACCGTCTGTTTGAAATGGCAGCCAGCGAGGTCCTTGTTCACATTGTTGCAGGAATTTATGTATAGATATCATGCACATACAGCCCACTACCAAAATCAGCACAATCACTTTTGTGACTTTGGTGATTTGTCCCCACAAAACATTTCATCACAGTTTCTTCCTATCTATTCAAAGGGCCTCTGCTGCACAATACCAAATGTAAGAATTCACCGATAAATGTATCTATGTACTGGCTCACTGGGGAAACTTCAGAAATTCATATAGACATGTGAGCTCAGCTACTCAGCAGCCCCTCTGCCTGAGTGATAATTCCTGGCATCCTGACACCTGAGTGCCAGACAGGTAGCCATTCCAGAAATAACAAACCCAGATGAAGACAAAAGGGTGTGATTAACTTGGCTGGGAAACAGGGAAATGTAAATATCTCTTTTGTTACACTTGATGGGTGTTTGGTGGAGGGCAAGGGGAACCATGGGGCAGGGTCCAGGATGCTCAGATTACTGCCACCAGACCTCCCCTTTCATGATGTAACCATGATGTATTAGTGATGTAGTTGGGGGGGTGTAACATGGGGATTAGCAGCTAATAAAAGTTTGGGTTCTCTTTTGTTCGGGGCTTCCATCTTGTTCCACCTGGTGGCAGGTGGGAGTCCTGTCGCGACAGTCCTCAATAAAGACCAAGCCTACGGGCTGCTGTTTTACTCTGGTATTCCTGGCTGGTGTCCTTGTTTTTTGTCCAAGGGAGCCCTCAGATTTCTCCATTAACAACATCATACATTTATAGCTCTACTGTGGAAGGATGTGTGGATCCAGAATTGGCCTCCACAGTCACTTAGGAACCCACTGTTAAACCATGTTTATGGAAGACAATCTTACTCGGCTATGAGTGATCTCCAAAGAAGAAGACCACTTTAAAAATGGCTCTCCCCCCAAGAATCCTGGGAGATGTAATTTGTGAAGGGTGCCGAGTTCTTAGGAGACCCCCCTGGTTGCCTCCCCAGAACTCCAGTTCCCAGAGTTCCCTGGGTAAAGTTCCCTGCGTTGTTAAATCAACCTGGGAATTGTAGTACTGGGAGGGGAATCATGGGATCTCATAAGAACAAAATTAGTCATACATATGACTAAGTATCGAAAAGCTGAATGTTTTTGTAATGTTTTTTTTTGGGGGTGGGCAGACCCTTCTAAGTTTCTGGGTCCACAAATAAGCAATGGCCCACACTGGAATTTCCCACACCCCACATGGAAATCCCCCCTGTTGTAATCAAAATCTGCCCTTTTTCCCTTGTGGGGTATCCAAGAGCCCGTATAGAGTCCTTACGTATGTTCCCTATTGGTAGGAGAAAATAACAGAGGCCAAGCAGAGAATATTGAGAAGCAAAGCAGCTAGTAAGCCTGATCTTTATTGATCTGTTGCAACAGGGTCCTCACTCACCACACGCAGGAGGGAGGAGGAACCCAGAACCATGGTTTGCCTGCACTAGATAGACATTTTAAATTGCCTTCCCTGGAGCTCAAGTCATACATCATACATACATCACAGAAGGGGTGTAACCCAAGACCACACCCCACAAACATCATACCTACATCACAGAAAAGGTGGTCTACAACAGAAATTTGAATGTTGTTGTTTTTCCTGTCTGCCAGGTTATCTGATTATATGCCTTATCTGATTGCCTTTCCTGGTAGTCTGCCCATTCCTTTGAGATGGTAATTACCCAATTCCTGTAACAAGGATGGTTTTTTTCCACCTCCTCCCTCCTTGCAGAGAAACATTTGGTCAGCTTGGGAGTCAAAATGGTTCCAGGACTGTCCTCCTGTGCTGCTTCAGACATGTGGTTTATATATTTATGTACGTGTTTGCTTGGTACGTTTATGAACATTTATTATATATCTAAGACCTTAAAATTCTTATCTCCCCCCCCCCATGAAAAAGCATCTCAGTTCAGCTTGCTCCGTGGAGAAACTTGGCTCCCTTGACCTCCCTATTATGACCTAATAGAACTCATCATTGCTGAGAAGCAGCCGGCCACCCAGGAAGGAGCCTTGAAAACTTTCCTACAGGCAAGGAGTTGCTTCTCTTCTTCACGCTGCCCCCCGCCCAGTACAAATACCCTTTCTCTCTGCCCCTTCTCCCTTCCTGCCCCTTAGGCCCAGGCTTCCTGCCCCAAAAACACCTTTGCGATGTCCCCTCTTTCTCTACTCAGCCCACTTCCTTCAAACTCCTCCTCGAAACCATTGTGTCTGAGAATATTTCAGCCTAGGGAGCCAAAATGGAGTCCTCTATATGTTCTTGGGCTCCAGATACCTTTACTCCAGTGGCCAAACAGCGATGGAGTACACTACCTGGGCTGCCCCTGTTTAGACCTTGCTCCTGGCAGAAATAAGGTTTGAGCTCAAGTATCGCAGCTTGGTCCAGCCCATCCATCGCTACTTTTCCTCACTTCTCTCTTTTCTTCCATACCTCAGCTGCTGCTGTTGTTGATTTATTGCCCGCCCTCTCTTGAAATACCAACATTAGCGGAGTGGCAGACAAAAATGGTTGAATATGTGGAATTAGCAAAACCGACCCACAGAATCCGTAACCAAGAAGAAGCAAAGTTCAGACATGAGTGGAGTAAATTTGTGGAGTATATACGTCATAATTGCAGAAGTTTAAAGACTGTAGTAGGATTAAAATAAATCTTATGATGTGAATAGGATGTAATTAAGAATCTGTGATAAATGAAAGGTAAATATGAAAACCTGTTGAAGGGAGGGAAGTCCGTGCTCAATAGAGCCTTGAGAAAATACATTAGTGTATTTATTTTGTTTATTTTGTTTTGTTTGCGTTAAAGAAAATTCAGTAAAAAGCCTTTTAAAAAAAAGATTTATTGCCTGCCCTCGACCCCTAAGATCAGGGTGGATCACAGCAATTTGAAATGCAACATTTAAAAATATTAGTATTACTAATTCTAATTCTAATTCTTTTATTATTTTTATGCCACTCATCTGACTGGGTTCCTCCAGCCACTCTGGGAGGCTTCCAACATATATAAAAGTGTAACGAAACATTGAACATTAAAAAAACTTTCCCATATGGTGGAACCTCAGTTGTTGAACGCAATCCGTTCCGGAAGACCGTTTGACTTCCAAAATGTTCAACAACAGAGGCGCAATTGCTGGTTGGCAAAATTGATTGAAAAACTAGAGAAACACGCCTCGGAAGCCGTTCGACTTCCGAGGTGCGTTAAAAAACGGAAGCATTCACTTCAGGGTTGCCGGCGCTTGAAAGCCGAAACGTTTGACTTCCGAAGCGTTCGCCAACCAAGGTTCCACTGTACATGGCAGCTTTCAGATGTTGTATAGTTGTATAGTTACTTATCTCCTTGGCTTGGGTGGTTGCGTAACTCCCTACCCTTCAACATTTCTCCAATGAAAATAGGGATGTCCTAAGGACGCGGGTGGCGCTCTGGGTTAAACCACAGAGCCTAGGACTTGCCGATCAGAAGGTAGGCGGTTCGAATCCCGGCGATGGGGTGAGTTCCCGTTGCTCAGTCCCAGCTCCTGCCAACTTAGCAGTTCGAAAGCACATAAAAGTGCAAGTAGATAAATAGGTACCGCTCCAGTGGGAAGGTAAACGGCGATTCCGTGCGCTGCTCTGGTTCGCCAGAAGCAGCTTAGTCATCATCATCATCATCATCATAATAATAATAATAATAATAATAATAATTTTCCCAGCCACATGACCCCGTGCTCCCTCGGCCAATAAAGCGAGATGAGCTCCGCAACCTCAGAGTTGGCCACGACTGGACCTAATGGTCAGGGGTCCCTTTACCTTTACCTTTAAGGGAAAGCAGGACATTCTGGGATCAAATCAGAAACTGGGATGGCTTCTGTAAATCCGGGACTGTCCCTGGAAAACAGGGACACTTGGAGGGTCTGCTATTCTTATGTAGTTTCCTTTGGAGTTACAGCATATACTGTTCATATAAAATGCTCTTCAGCTGGATAGCTCAGTTGGTTAGAGTGTGGTGCTGATGATGCCAAGGTTGCAGGTTTGATCCCCGTATGGGACAGCTGCTTATTTCTGAATTGCCCAGGGTCGGACTAGATTATCCTCAGGGTCCCTTCTGGATAGTTTTATGATCCTGTAATTATTCTACAAAACTGAAACAGTTTGTTGCCTCTTCCCTGCCTGCTTGCTTTATTTGGTTTCCCCTGCAGAACTGTCGGTTTGCAAGCCCCTTTCACAGAGGCTGGCCCCTCTCACTGTCCTCGGAGCTTGCTTACCGGTAACCTCCTCTGGCTGACATCCAGACAGACCAGGGAGATATTGATAGGCGACATTTTCCCAAGAGTGGGTAAAATGCACAACCCCTCTCTCCTGCTTCCGCAGGGGAAAGAAAATAAGTCAGAAATCTATTTACATGATGTTTATTTCTGACATTACAGCACTACAGAAAAACACGTCCTTTCAGTTCAGTTCTTCTAGCAAGTCTGACAAACTTCCTGAGCATGCACAAACAGAAGGTTTCAAATTACACTCTTCACAGAGACTTTTCCAGCCTGTGAACTTCCTGGGAAATTCTTCTTTCCCACAGATAGGCGCATCATGTGATGTCAACAATCTGGCTGTTTGCAGTTGCGATGTTTCCATATACTGACATCCTCCCCCATATGAATCATCATTAGCTGCGGACAAAGCTTGATCCAGAGAAGAAAACAAACAGTTGTTATACAGTGGTACCTCGCAAGACGAATGCCTCGCAAGACAAAAAACTCGCTAGACGAAAGGGTTTTTTGTTTTTTGAACTGCTTCGCAAGACGATTTTCCCTATGGGCTTGCTTCGCAAGACGGAAACGTCTTGCAAGTTTGTTTCCTTTTTCTTAACACCGTTAATACAGTTGCGACTTGACTTTGAGGAGCAACTCATAGCACGCGGTGTGGTAGCCTTTTTTGAGGTTTTTTAAGACTTTGGTGATTTTTGAATCTTTTCCAAAACTTTCCTGACACCGTGCTTCGCAAGACGAAAAAAACTGCAAGATGACAAAACTCGCGGAACGAATTAATTTCATCTTGCGAGGCACCACTGTACATGTAACAATCCCCTGTTGTTTCAGTTCCACCCTTGGAACTACCCGCCACTGGTTTCACCAATGTAACTCTCTGGTTGTCTGTTTTCCAAGGAATGAGTGCATCTGCATTACCTTGGTTAGGGAACGTAGTGTTACGCTTAGCAACTCCCTGTTGTGTCTTTGTCTCTGACTTAGACATACCCTTAACCTGGCTTGAGTTGTCAACAATAGTAATACATGCAACAGCTGAACTCAAAGAGCTATTCACGTACCTACAGGACCGCCTCTCCTAATATGTCCCGCAGAGGACCTTAAGGTCCACAAATGACAACACTTTGGAGGTCCCAGGTCGCAAGGTGGTTAGATTGGTCTCAGCTAGGGCCAGGGCCTTTTCAGTACTGGCCCTGACTTGGTGGAACGCTCTGTCACAAGAGACTAGGGCCCTGGGGGACTTGACATCTTTCCACGGGGCCTGCAAGGCAGAACTGTTCCGCCTGGCCTTTGGTTTGGACTCAGTCTGACCCTTATGTTTCCTGCCCCTTACGGTTTTGATCTATGGGCTACTTTTAAAATGAGGCTGCATTTTAAATTGCATTTTAACCTGTATTTTAAATTGGTCCGCCCCCCCCATTATGTTTTTACTGAAATTTTACTGGTGTTAGCCACCCAAATTTTACTGGTGTTAGCCGCCCAGGGAGGGCGGGGTATAAATAAAATTTTATATTATTATTATTATTATTATTATTATTATTGCTGCAGAATAAGCAGCCCTGTCAAATAAGAAGCCTCGGCAAATTGTGCTTTTTCACCTCCAGACCTTAGTGCTCTGAATTTCTCTTTCACTTCTTGTCGTTTTCAGATTACATCCCAGCCAACTGCCATGAAGATTGTTTGCCTTCTCTTTGCTGGGCTGTTCTTGGTCTTCCTGCCCAATTCAGGTAAAAATGCCCACTGACTAATGACCAACCTGATCATTGTGTGATGAGGGAAGAAAGTCAACCCTGTTTTTGCACGGAAAGGCAAAATTATCTGCTTTGCACTTTCCCAAGCAACATGCAGAATGAAACACACCCATCCTTTGAAATTATTTGGATTTTCAATGCAGTTCCCTAGCCAAATTGCATCTCACAGTCGTGTGTGCGTATAAATGCATACTTTAGTAAAAGTAGCATGCAAAAAAATAATTATATTTGTGGAAATCGCTTTGCGAAGCATGTGTATGTTAGAGGAAATTGCATACCAAAAAGTGTACACCGGGGAGAAATTTCCACTTAGATCTTGGCAAATTTTAATGAGGACCTTAAAAAACAACAAAGCACTCTATACAGTGGTACCTCGGGTTACAAACTTAATTCGTTCCGGAGGTCCGTTCTTAACCTGAAACCGTTCTTAACCTGAGGTACCACTTTAGCTAATGGGGCTTCCCGCTGCCGCTGTGCCCATTCTCATCCTGGGGCAAAGTTCTTAACCCAAGGTACTACTTCCGGGTTAGCGGAGTTTGTAACCCAAAGTGTTTGTAACCCAAGGTGTTTGTAACCCAAGGCACCACTGTACTTTCTAACTACCAGCAAGTTGAGGGTCTAGCACAGAACCAATTCCTTTGTTACCTTAATGGCCCTCACTTTTAGAGCATCATTACATCACCAGGAAGCCAGCCTGGCTGTTCCAGGAATCAAATCCATGCTGGACCCAGGAATTAAAAGGGACTCAGGCATATAGCTTACCCCCCCAACTCATGTTGTTGTTGTTGTTTAGTTGTGTCCGATTCTTCGTGACCCCATGGACCAGAGCAAGCCAGGCACTCCTGTCTTCCAGTGCCTCCCGCAGTTTGGTCAAACTCATGCTGGTAGCTTTGACAACACTGTCCAACCATCTCGTCCTCTGCCGTCCCCTTCTCCTTGTGCCCTCCATCTTTCCCAACATCAGGGTCTTTTCCAGGGAGTCTTCTCTTCTCCTGAGGTGGCCAAAGTCTTGGAGCCTCAGCTTCACGATTTGTCCTTCCAGTGAGCACTCAGGGCTGATTTCCTTAAGAATAGATAGGTTTGATCTTCTTGCAGTCCATGGGACTCTCAAGAGTCTCCTCCAGCACCAGAATTCAAAAGCATCAATTCTTTGGTGATGGTCCAGCTCTCACTTCCATACATCACTACTGGGAAAACCATAGCTTTAATTATACAGACTCCCCAACTCATAACAGTATTTTATTCTGTTTTTGTTTGTGTGTATGTGTGTGTGTGTGTGTGTGTGTGTGTGTGTGTTTTAAATAATTGCTTCAGCTACACACACAAATAATATCCGCAAATAATATGTGTATATCTCTATTGGAACTGACCTCAGCAAAGCCGCTGCACAACATAGTGCAAGGAAACTTGCCATATCCCTTAAAACTCAGCTTAGTTGGGACACTCCATCCCAGGCTCCAAGCATAGGATAAGGAAGACAATAGGCCATTGTTCTCTTAGCTTGGGCAGTTTAACTATGGGCTCATGAGATCCACTGCTGGAATCAAGACGCAAGACGTCTAAATTATATTAAGGAGTCTTGGCGCTAAGGGTTAAACCACAGAGCCTAGGACTTGCCGATCAGAAGGTCGGCAGTTCGAATCCCCGCGATGGGGTGAGCTCCCGTTGCTCAGTCCCTGCTCCTGCCAACCTAGCAGTTCGAAAGCACGTCAAAGTGCAAGTAGATAAATAGGTACCGCTCCGGCGGGAAGGTAAATGGCGTTTCTGTGCGCTGCTCTGGTTCGCCAGAAGTGGCTGAGTCATGCTGACCACATGACCCGGAAGCTGTACGCCGGCTCCCTCGGCCAATAAAGCGAGATGAGCGCCACAACCCCAGAGTCGGCCACGACTGGACCTAATGGTCAGGGGTCCCCCTTTTATACTGCTCAGGCCAATGACCTCCACTGTTTGGTAGCAGATTGCCAGGGCTCTGAGCACATTCTGAGCTGAGGAATCTCTGAGCTGAGCTCACAGCTCACATCGAAATCATACGTTTAAAGGACGTTTAAAGCACAGAAGGCTGCACACACACTATGCACTTAAAGGACATGGCTTCCCGCAAAGATTCTTGAGAGACAGGGCTGATTACAGACCCCAGAATTCTTTGGCGGAAGCTGTGTGCTTTAAATCTTTGGTGTGACCACAGTCTTTTTAATCCAGTGGTCTACACCTCCTTAGCTTTTCTCATTTCAGCAGGTGGGAAACGTCATTTTGCCATTAAACAATTTGGGAGTCAGAAGCCCTTCCTGATCTCCCATTTCCCCACCCCTGGTGTAGAAGACGCACTCCTCCTCCCTCCACAAACCCCTTTCCTTGTGTGCCATGTCTCAGAATGCAAACCTACAGGCAGGAACTGGTTTTTGTAAACCAGCCTGGGAGCCTTTTTGTTATGTACTGAGTTGAATAGGATCCAAAATGCAGCAGTCTGATTGGTCCTAGAACAATAGGATTCAGAATGCAGCAGCCTGATTAGTCCACAGGAGCCACCCAATCCAGCTCCAGGTGGAAGTGAATCCACAACCTGATTAGCCTACAGGAGAATCCCGGAATTAGCCAATCACGTGGGGCCCATTGTGTAAATAATGCATATAAAGCAGACGTTCTGGGGGAACTTCCATTCCTCCTCACCACTATGAGCTGAATAAAGAGCATGAAATCCACTCTTGACTCCACGTATATTTCACTTTTTGACTGCAGAGCAGGGTAAAAATTCTGCGAGAAAGTAAAGCAATGAAGTAAAGTAAACACAACTAACATCTTTAATAGTCATTATTAGGCAGAATCTCTGTGATAAAAATGAATATACTACCTAGATTGTTATTTCTATTTCAAGCAATACCAGTGGTAAAAGGGATAAGACAATTTAAAGGATTGGCAAAAAAAATTAGCGAAATTTGTCTGGCAGGGGAAAAGGCCAAGGATAAAAATGAAGATACTAGTAGATAAGAAAGAGAGAGGAGGTTTTGATTTACCAGATCTGACTTTATATTATGAAGCTTCGTGCTTGTTATGGTTAAAAGATTGGCTGACTTTAGAAAACACTGACCTATTAGATCTAGAGGGCCACGACAATAGATACGGTTGGCATTCGTACCTATGGTACAACAAAGTAAAGGTACATAAAGGTTTTCTAAACCATGTGATTAGGAAATCTTTATATGAAGTATGGGATCGGAATAAAAACCTCCTGGAAAGAAAGACACCGTGGTGGATATCACCAATTGAGGTGCTGACAACAAAAAAAGTAAACATGGAAGGGGAAAGAGTAACATATGAGGATATTACTAGGAAAACAGACCAAGGGATAAAGCTCAAACCATATGACCAAATTGAAAAGATGTGGCTGCAATACCACCAGATCAGTGACTTATTAAAGGAAGATAAAAAGAGAAATGGGTTCGACGATAAAAAATCGAAATTCCAAATCGAGTTAATAGACTGTAAAGATAAAATTTTATCAAGAATGTATAGTTTATTGCTAGAATGGTATACAAAAGACGAAGAAGTAAAGGAATCAATGATAAAATGGGCAATCGATATTGGGCATAACATTGAATTGGATGCGTGGAAAAGATTATGGAAGGAGGGTTCGAGATTTACAGGATGCATGGCTTTAAAGGAAAACTTGCTAAAAATGATGTATAGATGGCATTTGACGCCAGTAAAATTAGCTAAAATGTATAGGAAAAAGAAAGAAAATGTTGGAAATGTAAAAAGGCAGATGGGGACTATTTCCATATGTGGTGGACCTGCGATAAGGTAAAAAAAAATTGGGAATGAATTTATAATGAACTCAAAAAAATATTTAGATATACTTTCCCCAAAAGACCGGAAGCGTGTCTATTAGGCTTAATAGGAACAAAAATTAAAATGGAAGATCAAAATTTGTTCATGTATGCTACAGCTGCCGCGAGAACCCTTCTGGCTCAAAGATGGAAAGTACAAGATATACCAACTATTCAGGAGTGGCAGGCAAAGTTGACAGAATATGCAGAACTTGCCAAACTGTCAGGGAGGATCCGGGACCAGGGAGATCAAAGATACCAAAATAACTGGAGTAAATTTATTGAATATTTAAAGAAGAATTGTAAAGAGGTCAAGACACTAGCAGGATTGACATAATACCTCCAATGTATAATAGTACTAATATGAGAATGATGTGCGTGATGGAAAGAGGATAAATATACCAGTTGTGGGGAGGGAGGGGGGTCGCGACTCGGCAGAGTCAAAGGGAATGTATGGTGCTATTACAATTTGTTGGAAAAGAATATGTAAGGAAAACAATAAAAATTCACTTGGGAAAAAAACATCTTTAATAGTTTGTGTAGATTTCGTGCAAGCCTCGGCGGCTGAAAGCCCTTCTCCTACAGAGCTAAACTTAAGATGCATGAACCTTTCCCGGTCTTGCCGCCCTAGTGACACTCCTCTTCCCTCCACTTGTAGGCATAGCGGACTTTGTCACCCTGGGCTGCTTTGTCCGAGGCGGGAAATGCGAAACGGACATTTGCAAAGAAAATGAAGAACAGATCGGAAACTGCTCCAGAACTGAAAAACTGTGCTGTAAGAAACCAAAATAAACGGCGTCTCCTGGATCCCAGGGGACTTCCTTTACCTGGAGATGTGGGAATCAGATCCGCACACTGAAAGATCAATGAGGAGGAGGAAGAGGAAGCCTTGGTTGAGCTGACTGCTTGTGGGTGGCTGGAAAACCGACACGGAGTCACAATGTTCTCCTGATTGCTGGAGGTCTCTCTCCAGCATGTGGAATGCTACCCCCACCACAGTTCCGCTTGTGAAAATTTGTCAAACAAAAATCAGGCAGGCCTCCATCGGATTATACTTTACGGATTAATTGCGTAAATTATACCTTAGGCAAAGTGCTGGTGGAGTGGGGAGGGTGATGAGGCTGAATCCTGCTAGCCAGGGTGTTACGGAAAAATCTAGGTGCGAGGCTGCTCAGTCACCCAGCTGGTTGGGCAGAGCCCGCGGTTCCCTGCGGAATAAAGGAAGGAGTCCAGACACCAACCGGAGCAAATAGCAGTAGGCCAAAGTTTATTGCGCAACAGGTTCAAAGAGGAATTTTGAACCACAAGGATGGGGTGACAAGGACTTTTAAAACTTTCCCACCATATCCCAGAATACAGTTCGTACAGCATCATTGCTACATCACTGACATGTCACAAAAGGGGAGGGGTAGACAGGGATTACACTAGTTTAACCTTGGCAAACATGTCCAGACAAGTCCTTGGTACAAGATTAGCATAAGAAGACATGTCAGGGCAAGACCCAGGTATAAGATTAACATAGGCACACACCTCTGAAGTCCCACCACCCAAAGTACAATAGAACTTCCTTTGCATGTCTGGACCCCTTGGCAAGTTTGGTGATGGAATTAAGCTTTCCTTGGCCAACAATCAGCTCAGCAATTGTCACCTCTGGTAACTTCCTGGAGTCCCTTTCAAGGGGAAAATAGCTTTGGAATGGAGGAAACTGGCAAAGGAGTTGATTTTATATTATTTTTAAAGCTAGATAACTTCCCTGAGCTGTCAAGTTGAAAGGATACATTCAGGCATAATATTTGTAACATTTAACTTTAAAGATGTTCCCCCCCCCCCCCCCGGTAATTTCCGTAACACAGGGATTCCCTCTAACCAATGAATTCCCTGCTCCAGTTTTCTGGAATTTCCAGACAAGAGATCACAGCCATGTAAAACACAGGGCTTCCCCAATGAATCCTGGGAACCGTAGAACAAGGCTGCAATTCCCAGCACCCTTAACAAACTACAGTTCGCAGGGAGCTGTGTGCCTTAAATGTACGGTGTAGCTGTGACTAGACTTTTCTCCCAGTCTCCTGTCTGGCAGGAGATGGCAACTGAGGACACCAATCGCTTCTGACCCTAGATGTGTGTTTGTTGCATAAGCTGTTTATTGATAGCTGTTGGTTTCCACCTACTAAGTCTGTATTTGCCTTACAAAGGTATAGTTCCTATCCGAACATAACCCCGCACCCCACCCACTCCTGCTTCCCGTATCAGCAGCCCACTAGCAGGCAAGGTAAGGTAAAGGGACCCCTGACCATTAGGTCCAGTCGCTGACGACTCTGGGGTTGTGGCGCTCATCTCACTTTATTAGCCGAGGGAGCCGGTGTACATCTTCCGGGTCATTTGGCCAGCATGACTAAGCCACTTCTGGCGAACCAGAGCAGCGCACGGAAACGGCGTTTACCTTCCCGCTGTAGCGGTACCTATTTACCTACCTGCACTTTTGAACTGCTAGGTTGGCAGGAGCAGGGACCGAGCAATGGGAGCTCACCCCGTTGCGGGGATCCGAACCGCCGACCTTCTGATCGGCAAGTCCTAGGCTCTGTGGTTTAACCCACAGTGCCACCCGTGTCCCGGCAGGCAAGGTGGCAACAGTTTAAAGCAACAAAACAGAGAAAGGGGAGGTGAAGGGGCAGGAAGAGAAGGCGGAACTCCAGCAAACCACAGGCTAAATCTGCAACGGGGCAGTTCTTCTTTCAAGAGCCCATTGGTCATTCTGTCCTTGATGCTTTAGTTGAAATTCCCACTCGCCCCCAGCTGAGCTATTTTGCCCAACTTAGCAGGATGAGCTAAGGGCTTCAGAACATGCTTGTGTTGACATATTCCTCAAAGTGAAAATCTGGACAAAGTTGCTGAGCTTTTTGTTTTCCCTTGGGTAAATTAGTTGAGCTTTTTAAATAATCTTCTTCTTCTTCTTCTTCTTCTTCTTCTTCTTCTTCTTCTTCTTCTTCTTCTTCTTCTTCCATAAGTCTGGGTATTCCAATCCACCATTTTTGCAGCCTGATTCCTGGAATTGTCCGGACATATGGCAGCCCTATGTCCACTGTGAAATTGCTTCCAGTGATATCTGATTGTCACCAGCATTTCATCAAGAGACAGTTGGGGAGTGTTCGGACTAGGACCCAGGAGGCCAAGGTTCTATTATTATTATTATTATTATTATTATTATTATTAATTTATTCATTTACAGTGGTGCCTCGCAAGACGAAAAGAATCCGTTCCCCGAGTCTCTTCGTCTTGCGGGTTTTTTCGTCTTGCGAAGCAAGCCCATTAGAGGTTTAGCGGCTTAGCGCTACAGTATTAGCGGCTTAGCCGGCTTAAAGATCAGCTAATAAGCGGCTTAACGATCAGCTGATAAGCGGCTTAACGATCAGCTGATAAGCGGCTTAGCATCAGCTGTTAAGTGGCCTAAAGATCAGCTGATAAGCGGCTTAGCATCAGCTGTTAAGTGGCTTAAAGATCAGCTGATAAGCGGCTTAGCATCAGCTGATAAGCGGCTTAGCCATCAGCTGATAAGCGGTTTAGCGGCTTGGGAAAAAGGGGGGGGGGAAAGGAAAAAAACCCCGCAGGAACTCGCAAGACATTTTCGTCTTGCGAAGCAAGCACATAGGAAATTCGTTTTGCGAAGCACCTCCAAAACGGAAAACCCTTTCGTCTAGCGGGTTTTCCATCTTGCGAGGCATTCGTCTTGCGGGGCACCACTGTATTCATTCATTCAATTTATAATATTGCCCTTTATCAAAATATCCCAGGGTGGTGTATTACAAATACGGAACGAGCCATGAAGCTCGCTGGGTTAGCTTGAGCTACTCCCTGTCTCTCAGCTGACCCTACCTTACAGGGTTGTCGTTCGCCACCTTGAGCTCCTTGGAGGAAAGGTGGGAGATAAATATAATAATGAATAACATTGTTTGCAGTCCACCCCACAACACCTTTGATCCAGAGGCCTTCTTTGAAGGGCTGTCGGCTCCTCTAGGGTGCAGCTTGTAGATTACTAATGTACCCAGTGGAAGTTCTTTCTCTGATCTGACCCTTTGTGTCAAAGATAAATTCTTATCCCAAAAAAATAAGCTTTAAAGCTTTACTTGCAGAAACTTGGTTTAAGCGTTATGAAAAAAAATGAGCAATACGTTGTCTCGGTTATACATTTCTATTCTTACATGTGCTGATTCTAGCATAAGGCTCAAGAACACGTATTTGCCCAAAAGCAGACTTTTCAGCTAAAAATCCAAGTCTCTCTCTTTTTCCACCTTGCTGCATCTAGGGAGATCTGTGTGCATTTGCAAAACTTAACTGGTGACTCTGAGTTGTGTGGGCTACTTCATTAACATAAGTAAACACTCCAAAAAACACACACACTGGGGCCCAGTCATAAAACTTACCCCACCCCACTTTTGCAATGGAAAAATACAAGTCTTCAGCCATTTGCTCACACATTCTTTGCAGTAACTTAAATACAGTACAATTACAGTTGCACACCATTCCATGTAACTGCTAAATTGCAATACAATTCCAATCTTCAGTTCATCCCCATTATCAACTTGTGAGATGCTGCCTGCGCTCTGTCTCAACACACTGTGTTATAGGTTTACAGTAAACCCTAGAAATCAATCAATGCTAGGATTTGGGTTATTTGTGATATGAATGCAAGCTGCAAAGGAATTCCTGCGCTAGCTCATGCAAAACAACCAGGCTGAGCTACGGCTATCAAAAGAACAATGGAAGGACATTAACAATACAAGAGAACTCCTTCCCTCTTACCCCAGGTGTGAACAGAGACTGGGGATTTGGAAGGTTGCCAGGGGAACTCCTGTGGGGTGGGGGCAAGGGTTGCTGGGAGGAAGAAGGAAGAAGAAGAGCTGAGATCCATCTTGGGCAGGCAGGCAGAAGGATGCCTGTGCTGTTGCCTCTTAAACTGGCCATGCGGTAAGATCTGGACTCCTTCCATGCAGACTGAAGGTGCAAATAAGTGAATAAACCATATTTCTTAAAGCATTACAGTCTCTGCCTTGTCTTCCATTCTCCAAAGGGAAACAGACCCTTTGTGGGTGCCTGGGACTCCCTGGGCTCTTGCGAGACTGTCTCGCCAGAGTGATGCATGCTCTGGTTATCTCTCGCTTGGACTACTGCAATGCGCTCTACGTGGGGCGACCTTTGAAGGTGACCCGGAAACTGCAATTAATCCAGAATGCGGCAGCTAGACTGGTGACTGGGAGCAACCGCCGAGACCACATAACACCGGTCTTGAAAGACCTACACTGGCTCCCAGTACGTTTCCGAGCACAATTCAAAGTGTTGGTGTTGACCTTTAAAGCCCCAAACGGCCTCGGTCCAGTATACGTGAAGGAGCGTCTCCACCTCCATTGTTCTGCCCGGACACCTGTCCTGCCTGTCCAGCGCCGAGGGCCTTCTGGTGGTTCCCTCGCTATGAGAAGCCAAGTAACAGGGAACCAGGCAGAGGGCCTTCTTAGTAGTGGCACCCGCCCTGTGGAACGCCCTCCCACCAGATGTCAAAGAGAAAAACAACTACCAAACTTTTAGAAGACATCTGAAGGCAGCCCTGTTTAGGGAAGCTTTTAATGTTTAATAGGTTATTGTATTTTAGTGTTCTGTTGGAAGCTGCCCAGAGTGGCTGGGGAAGCCCAGCCAGATGGGCGGGGTATAAATAAATTATTATTATTATTATTATTATTATTATTATTATTATTATTATTGCCACCACTCGGCAGAGAGAGGGGCAGGCACCCAACCTTTGTAACAATACTCTTTGCTGCCCATCTAATAAATCACATTGCATCAGGTGCCCCTGCAGATGGTGAATGGATCGCCGGAGCCGGAGCCTGGAGCAGGTCAGCAACAACTCGCAAGGCGTCAGTGAAATTAGCTCTTTATTCAAAGAAACCAAAACTGTGCAGACCTAGTGGTCACAGCAACTCTTCCCAGTCATGTCTTGCTTGTGGGTTTCCCCTAGGATGGACTGATCCAGCAGGGCTCAGCTTTAACTTCCGATGACTGGTCCAAAGGAACAGTCGTCAAAGGAAACAATTTGTCATGCTTTCCCATCCTTAACATCTTGTGCAGTTTGGAGATATAATTTGGGAAGTGCTGCTTGCTCCCAGTTAGAGGAGATTGAGCAGAACATCTTCAAAAGGTGCCACTTCCTGTGTTTCCTCGGAGCTCTTGTATTTCTTGGGCAAAATTCTGCAGCATATAATTACCGGTTCGAAACAAAACCCGCCGCTTGGGATTTCGTCCTCAGAGCAGTATCCCACTCTGCAGTTATGGTGCAGAGAGTCGCAGCCTGGCTTTTCGTCTTGAATTATCCCTGCGGGGAAGAAAAAAGAGGCTCACCAGTTTTGGAAACAACAGCCCATACCGGTCGCTCAGAATGACTCATGAGCAGGCCGAAAGGAATTCCAGAAAAGCAGCTGTATTGGTCTGTTGCAGAAAAAGCCATGGAAATTCTTCAAGGTTTGCGTGGGGTGGGGTGGGTGGTTAATGTAGACAATAGCCTACTTTTCAAGATGCATGGAGATCTTTAAGATAATCCATTCATTAAGACCGTTCGTGAGGTCCAGGCACACAATGGAAATTGCATTCTTCAACTGATCTAGGAGACTAAATCGCCAATCAGAGAGCCAGTCCTGGACCAATAGCCTGACACAGAATAAGGCATATGCTAGCTCTGCAATGGGGATGTGGGTGACGCTGTGGGTTAAACCACAGAGCCTAGGACTTGCCAATCAGAAGGTCAGTGGTTCCCTGCGACGGGGCGAGCTCCCGTTGCTCGTTCCCTGCTCTTGCCAACCTAGCAGTTCGAAAGCACATCAAAGTGCAAGAAGATAAATAGGTACCGCTCTGGCAGGAAGGTAAACTGCGTTTCTGTGCACTGCTCTGGTTCGCCAGAAGCGGCTTAGTCATGCTGGCCACATGACCTGGAAGCTGTACGCCGGCTCCCTCGGCCAATAAAGCGAGATGAGCGCCGCAACCCCAGAGTCGGTCACAACTGGACCTAATGGTCAGGGGTCCCTTTACCTTTAGCTCTGCAATAGAAAAAGCAGGGTTTGATGCACTAGAGGAGAGCACAGGGTTTCCCAAGTGACTATGTTCCTATCCAGTGTAAAAGGCAGGACCTCTTTATCACCTCCCGCCAACTTAAGTGTGAATGCACTCACAGAGGGATAGGGTATCTGAAGATGCACAAATGCATCACACATGTATCAATCACCCATCAGAGGATTGGGCCCAGCCTGATTTATGTCACCTCTCCAGGACATTTTGGAAGATCTCACCTGGAGCAGCCAGAGTGATGGAGATAAGATGATGAAGTAGCAGCAGCAGCAGCAGCAGCAAGAACACAGATGTCTGCATAGCGATGCCAACCCAGCCGTCTGACATGGGAGAAATCCAAAGTAACAGGTGTCTGGGTTCACTAAGAAATGCTTACCAGAAGCTCAGAGAGAGAGAAAGCGAGAGAGAGAGAGAGAGAGAAGAAGCAGTAGCAATGAAAAAGATCTCTTGTTTCTCTGCTCCTCCCTCCTTCTGGGTCATTTTGACCCAGGGGGAATTCCTCAAATTCTGTAGAAGGGCTGGGAAAAGCTTGACTTCAAACAGCAGCCACCTGAATGATGGAAGCCCAGGTGTTTGGTGACACTTTCAATAGCCAGAGATCACTTTGTTCCTGTGGCTTGGAGCCCAGGAGAAATTCTTCTCCCTTTACATCAGGTTTCGATTGTATCCAGGAAATGGGGCAAACTGCGTGTCAAAAGCAGCAGAACCAAAAACCTGGCCTAAGGTTGCCTGCCTGCTTCTGTCTTTTCTCGGGATAATCTTTATGTTGGAAGAGAGGGTCACCGCAAACTGGTGTTTTCTTGTAGGCGTATTCTGCAACATGCTCTTGGCACGATCAGTCAGGGCCGGCCCTACGATGAGGTAGAGTGAGGCGGTTTTCTCAGGCAGCCTACACTAGCCTGCTAGTGGAATGGAAGGTCCCATCCTTTGACATGTAGTAGAGTAAGATTTAACCACCAATCCAGTTGGCTTCCATATGCACCTTGAGGGAGTATGCCATCTTGCCTTTGCCTCAGGCAGCAAAATGTCTTGAACCGGCTCTGCAATCAGTGCACCTTTGCTGGATCTATCCTGTTTTCATTTCTTCTGTGGTGCTTCCCCAATGCTGCCTGGTTATTGATGTCCAAAGCGGCTGCAGCATGACAAAAGGGGGATGAAATTAAACTGGAGCATTTGCGGTATTAAAAAGATCAGGATTTCAGCAGGAAGTTATTGGAGTGTGCACTGATTAGGATTCTATGATTCTGCGAGCAGAGCGACTGCTCGAAAACTTTGGCAGGCTATTTGGCAGAGTATTGAAAGCGGGAATCACTTGTGACTGCCCCAATAGCATTGTGAGCACAAATCATCATGAACGTGGAATAAAAAGGATGTTTGGAGTTGTCCATAAATTCATCAGTGATTTCCCACCTGTTTGGGCAGGTCTTTGTCTTGTTTCACTCTGCCCTGAGCAGCAGCAAAGATGGGAGATGTCGAGTAATAATAATAATTTATTATTTATACCCCGCCCATGTGGCTAGGTTTCCCCAGCAACTCTGGGCGGCTTCCAACTGAATATTAAAAACAATACAGTATCAGACATTAAAAACTTCCCTAACTTCCCTCGGAGCTGGATCTCAGTGTCCAGGCTGAACGATGGGGGTGGATACACTTCTTCAGGTCTACTGGGCCAAGGCTGTTTAGGGCTTTAAAGGTCAGCACCAACACTTTGAATTGTGCTCGGAAACGTACTTTTGCAACAAAGTGACTTTTGCAACAAAACTATATTTGACCACTTTTCTCCTCCTTTTCTGGTTGTTCTTAAGCCCTTTTACATCTAAGCTATTTTTTTTTTAAAATGTAACTATGTATTTACTCATGAGTAGGATGTAGGAACCATGTGCTCTACAGGGAGCTGGCTTGAGGCACCAGGCCCATTGGCAGACCAACTCTGTGTTACAAAGATGTCTGCAAGCATGACAATGAAGGCTGGCATCATTAACCCTGCCCTGTGGGAATCACTTGCAGTAGACCACAGTACCTGTAGACAGACAGTCAGGTTTTGTATCCACAGCAGTGACCAGAGGAGGAAAGACTGCTGGGAGGAGCGCAGAGAGAAAAAACGCCATGGTGCATCTGCAGAAGCAGAACTGGACACCTTCGTCTGCCCCAGCTGCAACAAAACATGTCTCTCCCATATCTGTCTCTACAACCACAGCAGGTGCTACAACCTTCCAACAGTTTGACTTCACCCCCAAAGGTGCAATGCTCCATTGTCTCCCGAGACAGATGGATGCCAACTATTGCCAACCTTTAAAGCCCTAAACGGCCTCGGTCCAGTATCCCTGAAGGAGCGTCTCCACCCCCATCATTCTGCCTGGACACTGAGGTCCAGTGCCGAGGGCCTTCTGGCGGTTCCCTCATTGCGAGAAGCAAAGCTACAGGGAACCAGGCAGAGGGCCTTCTCGGTGGTGGCACCCGCCCTGTGGAACACCCTCCCATCAGATGTCAAAGAGATAAACAACTACCTGACATTTAGAAGACATGTGAAGGCAGCACTCTTCAGGGAAGTTTTTAATGTGTGACATTTTAATGTATTTTTCATCTTTGTTGGAAGCCGCCCAGATGGGTGGGGTACAATTATTATTATTATTATTATTATTATTATTATTATTGCATTGCAATGCTGAAACATGTGCTGGGAACTGTAGAGGAAGAGCAGGTGATGAATAATAGCTTGCCTTTCTTGAAAAGGTACCTCACAAACCAAAAGTATCTAAAGGGCATTGCTCGAGTGACCATTTTTTGAATATATGGCATTAAAAAAATATTATACAGATTTTGAGGCATGTGGTCACTTATATACAAGCACCACCAGTATATACAAATGTCTGGCTCATTAAAGACTATATAGAAGTTTTATTCTCAATTATGCTGGAACTCTAAGGTGGAGAATCGTTATATAAATCTTGATTGTTTGTAAAGGGAATCTTTGATTGAACTAATACTCCTTTTGGAGCTGTGCTTAATTTTTGTACTTTTGTCCTCCCAGGCTGTGACTCTTTATGGCTTAATATATTTATTCTTTGCCTTCTTTCTTCTCGTAACATGTGCAATATTGTTGGTTAACAAACCAACAAGCTAGCAACAACAACAAACTCACCAGCCATCTCCAAAACACAAAGTTTTATGATTTTGGGGATGGGGTGGTGGAAGGGTTTATTCCAAGGTTGTTGTTTTTCCTACTTCTCAAGCAGCCAGCTCACTGCTGGTCCTTGAATGTTTTAGAAACAAGGGGGATTGAAGTAGCAAACAGAAATCCAAGAGAGAAAAAATACATTTTTATTAGGAGGGTGTGTGGGTGTAACATTTGGCAAGGTTAATTCATAACTGGAAAAAGGGAGCAGAGGAACACTCTCTCCTTTGGGGGGATCTCTTCAGTTTGCCAGTTTGCCTCTCCCTACTAAACCACTTCATCCCGGCAACAGATCATGGTGTGGTGGTAGCAGGTCCCAATCTGCTCCTCGCCCTCACTGCAGTCATCATACCGACAGATCCCTCCTCGCCGGAGGCAGTGGCTCACATACCGGGGCTCACGCTCCCCATTTCCTGCATAAGAAAGAAGCAGAGAACATAATGTCTTGAAGACAGCCTTGCTGGGTCAGGCAGGCTACGCCTTCCCCTGTTATTCACCCTCAACATCTGGCGTTTGGAGATAGATTGCTTTATCAACGTGAGACCCACTGACCTTCTCAACTGTTAAAATCCACAGATGGGGCTTTTTTTGCTCAGAAGAATAGCTGTCAACATTTCCCTTTCTTTAAAGGGAAATTTCCCTTATTCCAAATAGGGTTCCTCACCAGAAAAGGGAAAAGTTGACAGCTATGCTCAGAAGTGTGGGACCCTCCTCAAAGAGGTCTTCTACCATCTTCTGTGACTGGCTCAAGATTGCCTTGTGAGTTTCGTGGCCAAGTAGAGATTTGAACCCAGGTTTCCCAGGTTCCCTAGCCTGACACTCTAACTGCTAGCCCACACTGCCTCTCTTTCACCCTGGGATGACCATGCATTGTTTTATCCTTTCACAGTCATGGCTTCTCTTTTCGTGTGGCCCACCGCTTTTGCCAAATTTGTATTGTTCTTGTTATGATGACAAAATGTGCCAAACCATTCCAGGCGGAACGGTTTTATGTGTATGTACTGTTGCTTTAACTCACCCTGGGACCTTAGGGCAAAGGGTAAGAAATCAAATAAGCAGATAAGTAATAAAAACTCCATATGCCATTTACCGAATCAGAAAAATCAACAACACACAGTCAGATATATCAGGTGCATCCATGACTCTACCCAAGAATGATTTGCAGAGAGATCTCCTCTCCACTTACTCTCTTGCAATACAGGTGTTGTTGCTAGGCTCAGATCCAAGAATCTGGAAGGATCAAGTGCCTCTTCCTAATTTTCTGTACCAAGAGGGCAGTTGATCAAAGGAAGGAGGTGCAGGGACTACAGAGAATGGCTAGTCCTTAACCTGTCACTCTTCAGTTTGAGCAAGCAAGTGTAAAAGAGAAGCTTGATAGATTTCTCCACCAATATTTGCCAGGTCCATGCCAGGATCATGAACCCTGAAGTGCCAATCTAAGGAAGGACTCCCTGCTGCATAGATTTATTAAGCCTCATGAACAATGCAACCCATTCTGTTTTGGAATTTGAAATCAAAGCTTAATATTTGAGAGCGCATATTACCTGTTGCCTGTTGCATTAAATTGTGGTTTCCAAGTCTACCCTAGGAAACCTATAAGCCAGAGAGGCGTTTTGCTAGTGACTTCCATTTCTGTGCACCTTACCTGGGCTCACCAGGAGCACTGCAAGGATTAGGGCAACCAGGAGGTGGAAACTCCTCATGGCTGGGTCAGGCTGGGTCACTCTCCAGGGTAACTAGGAAGGTGAAATAAAAGGAGAAGGGACAGTGGTAAACCTTTTCTGTGCCATAAAATGAACCGCTAGCAATAGCAACGATGCAAAAGGGGAAGGGGCTCAGTAAATAAATAACTAGGTAGTGTCAAATAAATGCCAGATGAATCTTCCTCTCTCCATCACCTGCTTTTCCCAGTCAAAATCAAGAACCCTCTTATAAATCCAGAAATTGCAAGAGGAGACAGTTAAGTATATATGTAGGGAAAGAAATGGAACCTTTTTGGTGGTGGATTGTGCCCTTTCTTCCCCCTTCCCTTCCTTTCTCCCTCTCTCCCCACATCTAGTCAACCTCTGTCTCTAATGAACAATCCAAATGTTTCCCATCAATGGTGGACAGAGATATATATGTTCACCATGACAGGATACAGGTTTAGCTCTGTCGAAAAGCATCTAGTGGCTTTGGTTTGGAAAGCAATGCATAACTTTGAGCAGGGTTTCAGAGCACTCTTGCAGAAGGCAGATGTCACCTTCAGAGGACATTTATCCATCCTCATTGTTTAAAAGCAGCTCCTTCTCCTCCCTGTCTTATACACTTCAAATTGCTGATGAAAGCAGAAGGTTTCTATAAAGGCATATCTTATTCTATGACTATTTTGGTTTGCTACTCCAGTATGCAAGTCTAAATTGCTGCGAACTTTCAGAGAATTCAAAGCCACATCAAATGTAGCTAGATATTATTTATACCATGCTTTATACCTATAAACTGGATGCACCTTATTCTTTCGATTGTAAATTGGTTTAACTGATTTTCATGTTTGTTTGTTTTTTGCATTGCTGTGACCCACAATGGAACCTTATGGTAATGGCCGGGCATAGCCAGATTTAGAGGAATGTGACCAGTTCGGTCGCACTGGGCTCAGAGCCTTGGGGGTGCCGCAATTGTGATGTAGAATGGAAGGTGAGAGGCGAGTGGGAGGCAAATTTTGGTGTTACACAGGGCACCACTGAAATGTGAGAACCCAAGGCCTGCCACTCAGGTGGTTAAGAAATTTTCATAACAACAGAAGCAACCATGGAAACAACAGTATAAAAGAAGAGCAAATAAATCCAATACATTCGTCATTCATCAAGAATTTTACAGAAAGATTACCAAGGACCATCAGCGGTGGCAGACACTGGGATGTCAAATTCCAGCAGTGCCCTGCATGATGTTAAAATTTTATCCCCACCATCTCTCGTGCTCCATTTTCCATTGTTGTGGCGCCCCTTGTGGCCCTCAATGCGGCTGAACCCTTTGCGCTACCCTAAAACCGCCTCTGACCGCCAGTGGTGTTGGTCTGGTTGTTATTTTGTCTGTCTCCACAGATAAAAGGGGAAAACACACACCCTGGGGTACATTTTTTTCCAAAACCCACAAGGTAATTACTGGTTCTTGCTCAGGGATCATCATGGAAAGCCAACGACTAGAGTAACTGTAATTTGTTAATGCCACTTAACACACCCTCAAGAACAGGCAACACAGCCCAAAGCTTTGGTCCTCTCTAGTTTTTATGGTTGATGAATGGGCCAGTGTTGGGGGAAGACCCACACAGATCATTTCTACATTTCAACACACAGGTTCTATCGCAAATACTATTAACTACCAGACAACGAAACAGCCATCAGACAGTTCTTACCCTCGACGCCCTGTGGTGCTTTGCTCCCACTGCGGTTCTAACCATCTCATGCTTGGAACACCTAGTATGACATAAGAGAATGAAATTCTCTTTCCCCATAGGCTGGAAAGGAAAGACCATTGTTTGTCTAGCAGCCTCTTGTTTCAAGACTGCTTCATTCTAGAGTGATATTAGCCAATCAGGTTGCATATGTATGTGACTCCTTTCCAATTGGCTGAAAAGGAGACCTGACTTTTCAACTGGTCTTTAGTTTTTAAGGGCTGGAACAAGTTTTAGGGGTGTGCACCAACCATCAATTTGGTTTGTATCTGTCACTGTGGGAAACAGCCTAATTTCTTTCAAGTCGCTCTGTTGTCTGTCTGATTCAACTCATGTTTTGGGTCTGTTAAAAACAAAGCTCTGTTTCCCATCATTTACTATTATGGGGGACTTTTTGACAGAACTGGGTAGAATTTCCAGGCATCTCTTTTTATTTTGTATTTGTATTTGGTAAGAATGGATGAAATTTGCTGCCATGGTCTGAGGACATGAATCCTGCCAAATTTCAGAAGGAAGGCAGTCTTTTACATGGATGGAAAAACAGGAATCACTTAACCTCTCTGAATTTCTTATGGGAAATCAATCAGAAAATTGCTGGGATGACATTTCCTGGTAAAGAAACCTTCACACTGAAGACAAATAGGTTATAGCGCCAGGAGTCTTATTTAAGGTTGCTCTTGGGGTGGGGGGAAAGTTAAGGATATTACAAAACCAAGAATTAAAATGAACTTTTCACTGCCACAGAAGGAAGGAATGAAGAGTGACAACACTGTGCTCTAAACATTGTAAGTTCTCTAGAACTAAAACTCAGCACAAAGGCAAACTGAAAAAGAACAAGAAGCCCACCCCCAGCATAAAATTAAAACAATTAAAGCAGTTGCTCTGCTTGTTGTGACTTGAAATGTTTTTTAAAGGGTGGGAGGTACCCTGATTCTTCTGATCCACTCTTCTAAGCAACCAGCTCTGGAGAGGCAGAACTTGCAAAATTAGCAGTAGGCAAGCTTGTAAAACAAATAATTTTCCTCAGTATTCTATCTTCCCCAAAGCACCGTGACTGAAGAAACTGATAAAAAAATTCCTTCTGTTTAAAAGCTAAACCCGACCATTAAAATGTGTCAGCTTGTTTTTAATATGTAAAAATTTAATGTTATAATATATCAAGATTAAAGATTAGGATTAAAAAGGAGGGAAAGGAATTGCTGGATTAACAAATTGAATTAGAATACAAAAGAGGGAGGTATGAGGAGGTCCGGGAAACAAGTAATCGTAAAAGAAGTGATGAAAAGATGGAATTGTTTTTAACTGTTTTTTCTTTTTTGTATTTTGTATTTTTCCTTTTTATTGTTAATTTTCTTATTAATGTGATTTTTCTTCTTTTGAAATTTTAATAAATATTATTTAAAAAAGAAAGGAAAAAAAATGTGTCAGCTTGGCTTCTCTTTTAACAACACAAAGGAGTCTCCAGCATTTTGTGTGCATCTGTGACTGAGTCAAGAGAGCAACACAAGGCTTTGGGAGAGAGTGTGAGTGTTCCTCTGATTTAGGGTGCCTTGTTAACATTGCCACCCAACTCAGGCATATATAAAAACGCTGTGAAGCATCCCAGTTTGGATTTCAAACAGGGCCAATGCACACTTCCAACAGGTGTAAAGGTAAAGGTAAAGGGATCTCTGACCATTAGGTCCAGTCGCGGACGACTCTGGGGTTGCAGCGCTTATCTCACTTTATTGGCCGAGGGAGCCGGCATACAGCTTCCGGGTCATGTGGCCAACATGACTAAGCCGCTTCTGGCGAACCAGAGCAGCACACGGAAATGCTGTTTACCTTCCCGTTGGAGCGGTACCTATTTATCTAGTTGCACTTTTGATGTGCTTTTGAACTGCTAGGTTGACAGGAGCACGGACCGAGCAACTGGAGCTCACCCTGTTGCAGGGATTCGAACCACTGACCTTCTGATCGGCAAGCCCTAGGCTCTGTGGTTTAACCCACAGCGCCACCCGCGTCCCTCTAACAGGTGTACAGCTCAGTAAATTAAAATTGGGCAACATGACTCATGCACCTGAATGTGAAAATATCAGCACATGTGCCTTATTTTTAAAGCACCTATGGCAGCTGGATTCGGTAGTCTAATGTAATATCAAAAGTACTGTACTTGCTCTAGGAAAGGCATGGCCAAACTTGGCCCACCAACTGTTTCTGGACTACAACCCTCATCATCCCTAGCTAACAAGACCAGTGGTCAGAGATGATGGGAATGGTAGTCCCAAAACAGCTGGAGGGCCAAGTTTGGCCATGCCTGCTCTAGAGAACGTAGGTGCCTTCACGTGATATTTACTCAGTCCAATATCAAGCATGATATCTGTGGCTGGGGTATCACTGCCTCCCAAACATATGATATCATTTCACACCACCACAAGCTTCCCTATCCATGTGTCAGTGCAGTAAGACAATGTTATTTGCTTTTTAAAGGTTTGTTTATTGATATTACCTGTTTTGTTCTTTTGCTGGCATTTTGTGTCTCTGTGTGTGTGGGTTTTGTTTTCGTTTTTTGGCATCTTAAAAAGCAGAGACATCACCTTGCCAACAAAGGTCTGTATAGTTCAAGCTATGGTTTTCCCAGTAGTGATGTATGGAAGTGAGAGCTGGACCATAAAGAAGGCTGATCGCCGAAGAATTGATGCTTTTGAATTATGGTGCTGGAGGAGACTCTTGAGAGTCCCATGGACTGCAAGAAGATCAAACCTCTCCATTCTGAAGGAAATCAGCCCTGAGTGCTCACTGGAAGGACAGAGTGTGAAGCTGAGGCTCCAATACTTTGGCCACCTCATGAGAAGAGAAGACTCCCTGGAAAAGACCCTGATGTTGGGAAAGATGGAGGGCACAAGGAGAAGGGGACGACAGGACGAGATGGTTGGATAGTGTTCTCGAAGCTACCAGCATGAGTTTGACCAAACTGCGGGAGGCAATGGAAGACAGGAGTGCCTGGTGTGCTCTGGTCCATGGGGTCACGAAGAGTCGGACACGACTAAACAACAACAACAACAACAACAAGAACATAAGAACATAAGAGCCTGCTGGATCAGGCCAATGGCTCATCTAGCACAGCATCTGGTTCTCAGATGTCTGTGGGAGACCAGCAAGAAAATCCAAGCACAAGATCATTCTTTTTCTCCTGTGGTTCCAAACAACTGGTATTCGGAAGCATTGCTTCCTCCTCCTGTGGAGGCACAGTACAGACATTCATAGCCCTCTCCTCCTCCATGAATCTTCTTTTTAAAGCCATCTAAGTTGGTGGCCACCACTGTTTCCTGTGGCAGGGAGTTCCATAGTTGAACTCTTTTACCTGTCCTGCATCTTCCAGCCTATGCACTACAGTGGTACCTCAGGTTACAAATGCTTCGCGTTACAAACACTTCGGGTTATAAACTCTGCTAACCCGGAAGTAGTACCTCGGGTTGAGAACTTTGCCCCAGGATGAGAACGGAAATCGTGCGGCAGCGGCAGGGCGGCAGTGGGAGGCCCCATTAGCGAAAGCACACCTCAGGTTAAGAACGGTTTTGGGTTAAGAACGGACCTCCAGGGGGAGGTGAAGTGAAGAAAAAATTGGACTGGACATTAGAAGAGACAGTGGAGACAGCAATACCCTGCCTCTCTACTGTTTTGTCCATTGACTTCAAACCTTCTGAAATAGAAGTAGGAGTTCTCACCCTTGATAATCCTAAATTCAGCATCCTTACAGAAGCAGAGATTGATGCACACCTTGTTGCTTTAGCAGAGAGAGATTAGCTCTACAGTGGTACCTCTAGATACGAACGGGATCCATTCCGGAGTCCCGTTCGCATCTAGAGGTAAACGTAACTAGCAATGGCATGCCTGCGCATGCACGCGTCACTTTTCGCCGCTTCTGCGCATGTGCGTGATGTCATTTTGAGCATCTGCACATGCGCATGCGCAAGCGGCGAAACCCGGAAGTAACGCACTCCGTTACTTCCCGGTTGCCACGGAGTGCAACTCGAATGCGCTCAACTCGAAGCGCATTCAACCCGAGGTATGACCGTATTTGTTGTTGTTTAGTCATTTAGTCGTGTCCGACTCTTCATGACCCCATGGACCAGAGCACGCCAGGCACTCCTGTCTTCCACTGCCTCCCGCAGTTTGGTCAGACTCATGTTTGTGGCTTCGAAAACACCGTCCAACCATCTTGTCCTCTGTCGTCCCCTTCTCCTTGTGCCCTCAATCTTTCCCAACATCAGGGTCTTTTCCAGGGAGTCTTCTTTTCTCATGAGGTGGCCAAAGTATTGGAGCCTCAGCTTCATGATCTGTCCTTCCAGTGACCACTCAGGGCTGATTTCCTTAAGAATGGAGAGGTTTGATCTTCTTGCAGTCCATGGGACTCTCAAGAGTCTCCTCCAGCACCAGAATTCAAAAGCATCAATTCTTCGGCGATCAGCCTTCTTTATGGTCCAGCTCTCACTTCCATACATCACTACTGGGAAAACCATGGCTTTAACTATACGGAACTTTGTTGGCAAGGTGATGTCTCTGCTTTTTAAGATGCTGTCTATGTTTGCCATCGCCTTTCTCCCAAGGAGCAAGCGTCTTTTAATTTCGTGACTGCTGTCACCATCTGCAGTGATCATGGAGCCCAAGAAAGTAAAATCTCTCACTGCCTCCATTTCTTCCCCTTCTATTTGCCAGGAGGTGATGGGCCCAGTGGCCATGATCTTCGTTTTCTTGATGTTGAGCTTCAGACCATATTTTGGCTCTCCTCTTTCACCCTCATTAAAAGGTTCTTTAATTCCTCTTCCCTTTCTGCCATCAAGGTTGTATCATCTGCATATCTGAGGTTGTTGATATTTCTTCCGGCGATCTTAATTCCGGCTTGGGATTCATCCAGCCCAGCCTTTCACATGATGAATTCTGCATATAAGTTAAATAAGCAGGGAGACAATATACAGCCTTGCCGTACTCTTTTCCCAATTTTGAACCAATCAGTTGTTCCATATCCAGTTCTAACTGTAGCTTCTTGTCCCACATAGAGATTTCTCAGGAGACAGATGACCGTATTTAGAATTCCTAATTCTGTGACTTCGGGCCAGAATGTCTGGTGAAAACCAATTTGTTAATGGCTCTGGATTATGGGCTGAAAATGGAATGCTCACTATCTGATGTATTTTCCTCTGTATGAATAAAACGGTGGGTTTTTTTGGGGGGGGGGGGGGAAGAAAAAGAATGGACCTCTGGAATGAATTAAGTTCTTAACCTGAGGTTCCACTGTATTACTAGCCCTCTCTGCTCCGGTGAGAACAATGAACTTATTTTCTAGTCTGGCCTTAGACGGAATTTCTTCATGTTCTGATGTCATATCCGACCATGCACTATGGATCTAAAATAGCAAGTTGCCACCTGACTCTTTCTTTCGTTGTGAAAAGTTTTGATTGCTTAACGAAGTTCAAAAAAAAGTGCAAAAATGTTGCTGTCCAGACAGTGAAAAAACCCCCAAACCCCAAAACAAAGACCCCTATGCACTGCTTGAAGAAGTGCTTTCTTCAGTTGAGCTTTAGAATTCAATGCACAGAGCCTTTGAGGCATCAAAAGCTTCTTCCTACTGACTGTGAGATCTTGCATAAGCATCGCTAGCCTCCCAGAGCTGGTGAGTTGGGTGTACCTTAATGCCCATGCAAGGAAGAGAGCTTAAAAATCTCTTTTTGCACCTCATCCACTTCAGTTATCTAGTGCCTAAAGAGGTTTTAAGATCTCCTTGCTTGGGGAACAAGGTCTGCTCAGCACTCTGGCTTTAGGGATACAGTGCATAGCTGTCTACTTTCCCTTTTTTTTTGCGGGAAATCCCCTTATTCCAGCACCGTTTCCTGCTGCTTCCCTCTGCTATCCTGGATTGTTAGATATCCCGTAGACTGTCCCCAGGACAGGTGAGGATGCTGAACCCTTATTTTCAAGGCTGCTGATCCCTTATTTTCAAATCTGAAAGTTGACAGCTATGATACAGTGGAACCTTGGTTTTCGAACGTAATCCGTTCTGGAAGACCATTCGACTTCTGAAACGTTCAAAAACTGAGGATCAACGGGCGGTTGGCAAAATCCATTGAAAACAACAGAGAAATGTGCCCCAGAAGCATAGCTGTCAACGTTTCCCTTTTTAAAGGGAAATTCCTTATTCTGAACAGGATTCCTTGCAAGAAAAGGGAAAAGTTGACAACTATGCCCGGAAGCTGTTCGACTTCTGAGGTGCATTCGAATATGGAAGCAATTACTTCTGGGTTTTTGGCATTTGGGTTCCAAATCATTTGGATTCCAAGACGCTCAAAAACTTAGGCTCCACTGTACTAGGGACTCTCTCTCTCTCTCTTTCTCTCTCTCTCTCTCTCTCTCTCTCTCTCTCTCTCCCACTGACCATGGGTGTGGCTCCAACGATTTGGGTATATGTGACTTTTGTGCATATGTGGAATTCTCAGAGCTGAACCCCCGCATAAGATGCAATCATGCTGTAAAACCCAAGGATTGCAAGAAAAGCGCTCAAATTTCCCTCCAAAGCAAAACAAACTGGGCTACTACTGGTTTTCCCAGTAGTGATGTATGGAAGTGAGAGTTTCCCCAGCCACTACAATGAATGAAGCTCACTTGGTGACCTTGGGCCGGTCTCTGGCAATCCTACCTCTCAGGGTTGTTGTGAGGATAAAATGGGGAGCAGAACACTCTATGTCATCTTGCACTCCTTGGAATAATAATAATAATAATAATAATAATAATAATAATAATAATTTATTATTTATACCCCGCCCATCTGGCTGGGTTAAAGATGGGATAGAGATGTAGTAAATGACAAACCTAGACAGCCTCTTAAAAAGCTGAGACATAACCTTGCCAACAAAGGTCCGTATACTTAAAGCTATGGTTTTCCCAGTAGTGATGTATGGAAGTGAGAGCTGGACCATAAAGAAGGCTGATCGCCGAAGAATTGATGCTTTTGAATTATGGTGCTGGAGGAGACTCTTGAGAGTCCCATGGACTGCAAGAAGATCAAACCTCTCCATTCTGAAGGAAATCAGCCCTTAGTGGTCACTGGAAGGACAGATCGTGAAGCTGAGGCTCCAATACTTTGGCCACCTCATGAGAAGAGAAGACTCCCTGGAAAAGACCCTGATGTTGGGAAAGATGGAGGGCACAAGGAAAAGGGGACGGCAGAGGACGAGATGGTGGGACAGTGTTCTCGAAGCTACCAGCATGAGTTTGACCAAACTGCGGGAGGCAGTGGAAGACAGGAGTGCCTGGTGTGCTCTGGTCCATGGGGTCACGAAGAGTCGGACACGACTAAACAACAACAACAACAAGAAGAAGAAGAATATAAGAACATAAGAGCCTGCTGGATCAGGCCAATGGCTCATCTAGCACAGCATCTGGTTCTCAGATGTCTGTGGGAGACCAGCAAGAAAATCCAAGCACAAGATCATTCTTTTTCTCCTGTGGTTCCGAACAACTGGTATTTGGAAGCATTGCTTCCTCCTCCTGTGGAGGCACAGTACAGACATTCATAGCCCTCTCCCCCTCCATGAATCTTCTTTTTAAAGCCATCTAAGTTGGTGGCCACCACTGTTTCCTGTGGCAGGGAGTTCCATAGTTGAACTCTTTTACCTGTCCTGCATCTTCCAGCCTATGCACTACAGTGGTACCTCAGGTTACAAATGCTTCGCGTTACAAACACTTCGGGTTATAAACTCTGCTAACCCAGAAGTAGTACCTCGGGTTGAGAACTTTGCCCCAGGATGAGAACGAAAATCGTGCAGCAGCAGCAGGGCGGCAGTGGGAGGCCCCATTAGCGAAAGCACACCTCAGGTTAAGCACGGTTTTGGGTTAAGAACGGACCTCCAGGGGGAGGTGACGTGAAGAAAAAATTGGACTGGACATTAGAAGAGACAGTGGAGACAGCAATACCCTGCCTCTCTACTGTTTTGTCCATTGACTTCAAACCTTCTGAAATAGAAGTAGGAGTTGTCACACTTGATAATCCCAAATTCAGCATCCTTACAGAAGCAGAGATTGATGCACACCTTGTCGCTTTAGCAGAGAGAGATTAGCTCTACAGTGGTACCTCTAGATACGAACGGGATCCGTTCTGGAGCCCCGTTCGCATCTAGAGGTAAACGTAACTAGCAATGGCATGCCTGCGCATGCACGCGTCACTTTTCACCGCTTCTGCGCATGTGCATGATGTCATTTTGAGCATCTGCGCATGCGCAAGCGGCGAAACCCGGAAGTAACGCACTACGTTACTTCCCGGTTGCCACGGAGTGCAACTCGAATGCGCTCAACTCGAAGCGCATTCAACCCGAGGTATGACCGTATTTGTTGTTGTTTAGTCGTTTAGTCGTGTCCTTCCCTTATTTTCAAATCTGAAAGTTGACAGCTATGATACAGTGGAGCCTGGTTTTCGAACGTAATCCATTCGACTTCTGAAACGTTCAAAAACTGAGGATCAACGGGCGGTTGGCAAAATCCATTGAAAACAACAGAGAAATGTGCCCCAGAAGCATAGCTGTCAACGTTTCCCTTTTTAAAGGGAAATTCCTTATTCTGAATAGGATTCCTTGCAAGAAAAGGGAAAAGTTGACAGCTATGCCCGGAAGCTGATTGACTTCTGAGGTGCATTCAAATATGGAAGCAATTACTTCTGGGTTTTTGGCATTTGGGTTCCAAATCGTTTGGATTCCAAGACGCTCAAAAACTTAGGCTCCACTGTACTAGGGACTCTCTCTCTCTCTTTCTCTCTCTCTCTCTCCCCCACTGACCATGGGTGTGGCTCCAACGATTTGGGTATATGTGACTTTTGTGCATATGTGGAATTCTCAGAGCTGAACCCCCGCATAAGATGCAATCATGCTGTAAAACCCAAGGATTGCAAGAAAAGCGCTCAAATTTCCCTCCAAAGCAAAACAAACTGGGCTAAGTCTTGCTGACTCTGAAATGTCTTCGTCCTCAGAGAAGTGGGGAGTCCAGAACAATGTTCTGAGTCAGCCTACCCAGGTGAGCGTAGCAGCCTACCCAGGTGCTTGCACAGAATTCTTGGCCACCTATAACAACACAGGTCTCATTTTTTAAAATTATTATAAAAAAGAATCATTTGTTTATTGTATAAATCTGTGATTTGTTTTTGCAATGAGGGATTGGTGCTACAGTTTGACAGCAGGGGTTGGAAAGGCTGCGAGTGCTTTGAAAGGAAGAAGAGGAAAGAAAGACAATGTCAGAGGATGCGCAAATGCGCACAGCGGTCCTGATTTCCTCTCCGTTTCACAGTGGAATTGTTGAGCTGGGAGAAACCGCTTTCCTAAAAACAGCATGCAGACTCAGAGACGTCGGTTCTCTCGGGACACTCTCGCCCACGTTCTCAGGTCATCCGTAACAGTCTCGGCACCGGCGCCTCTCAATCCTTCTCCCGGCAGCATTTTATTTTTGTGTGGTAGCACGTGCTGATCTCGATTTCATTGTAGAAGCACCGATTGCCTCGGCATTTTCCTGCTCTCCGCCGGCAGCGCCTGGCGAATAAGTTCAAACCGGCTCCTTAGCAAAGGAAAATGATGATTCATGATCACTTGCGCTCCATTATAAGAGAAGGGGAAGGGTGGGGTGACAATGATCTGGGGAGTGGGATACATTTGCAATTAGGATGGGGGGGAGGGTCTGTACTTTAGTGGCAGAACACCTGCTTTTCATGTCAAAGGTCCCAGGTAAGGGTTCAGAAAGACCCCCATCTGAAATGATGGTTGGCCATTGCAGACTGGGTATCTTCAACCTTTCAGACCCAGAACACACCTTTAACCAAAACCTGCATTGGGGACCCATTTATTATACATTCACCGGATATCTGCATGGTAGTATTCCTGTTGCTGCCCACCTTGGATCCAGCTATGGGTCCAACTAGTGAGCCTTAAATGGCTCAGGACCGCAATACCTCAAGGACCGCCTCTTCCCATGTGAACCTACCCAGACCCTGAGATCATCATCTGAGACCCTCCTTCGTGGGCCTTCTCCTTGAGAGGTCCGGAGGGTGGCAACACGAGAATGGGGCCTTCTCTGTAGTTGCTCCCCGTTTGTGGTATGCTCTCCCTAGGGAAGTTCGAAGTTCGCCTGGCGCCTTCATTATATATCTTTAGGCACCAGGCAAAAATGTTACTTTTTTTTATATGGGGGAAATGAATTCCTATGCCCCACAAATAACCCAGAGATGCATTTTAAATAAAAGCACACATTCTACTCATGTCAAAACACCAGACAGGCCACACAAATAACCCAGAGATGCATTTTAAATAAAAAAGTCCTGGTTTCAGCCTATAAATCCTTATGTTGTTCAGGACCACAATACTTGAAGAACCACCTCTTCCCATATGAATCGACCTGAACCCCGCAATCATCATCTGAGGCCCTTCTTCTTGTGCCCCCTCCATGTGAGGCCCAGAAGTTAGCAACATGAGAACAGGCCTTTTCTTCCTTGGCGCCCTGCTGGTGAAATGCTCTCCCCAGGAAGGCTCACCTGGTCCCATTGTTATATACAGTGGTACCTCCGGTTATGAATGGGATCCGTTCCAGATGCCCAGCCGCATCCCAAAAACTTGATAACTGGAGGCGCCCTTCTGTGCACACATGCAGGGCACACACACGGTGCGATTGAGCGCTTCTGTGCATGCGCGCATGGCAAAACCTGGAAGCATACACTTCCTGATTTGCTGCATTCACAACCCGAAGCTTATAGTGGTGCCCCGCAAGACGAATGCCTCGCAAGACGAAAAACTCGCTAGACGAAAGGGTTTTGCGTTTTTTGAGTCGTTCCGCAAGACGAATTTCCCTATGGGCTTGCTTTGCAAGACGAAACGTCTTGCAAGTTCTTGCGAGTTTGTTTCCTTTTTCTTAAAGCCGCTAAGCCGTTAATAGCCACTAAGCCGCTAAGCCGTTAATAGCCACTAAGCCGCTAAGCCGCTAATAGCCGCTAAGCTGCTAATAGCCGTGCTTCGCAAGACGAAAAAACCGCAAGACGAAGAGACTCGCGGAACGGATTAATTTAGTCTTGCGAGGCACCACTGTACTTATCCAGAGGGATACGTAAGCAGAGGTACGACTGTATCTTCAGAACCAGGCAAAAAACCTCCTTTTTTAACCATGCCTTTGGCTTTTAACTCTCCGTAGCCCTTATAGAATGGGTGGGATGTATTACTACTGTGCCCCTCCCCCGGTTTTAATGCATGAATGTTTTGTTGTTCTGTAAGTCATTTTGTAAGTTGCTTTGAGCTGCCATGGCAAAAAAGCAACTAATAAATTTATTTAGTAAAAAATAATTATACAGTGGTACCTCAGGTTACAAACGCTTCAGGTTACAGACTCCGCTAACCCGGAAGTAGTACCTCGGGTTAAGAACTTTGCTTCAGGATGAGAACAGAAATCGTGCGGTGGCAGCGGGAGGCCCCATTAGCTAAAGTGGTACCTCAGGTTAAGAACAGTTTCAGGTTAAGAACAGTGTCCCTGGGTGCTCTCACATTGTCACTGTTTTGGTGTGGGCTTCAGTCGCACAGCGGCAAATTCAGGTTGCGCAGTTATAGATGACTGGGAAACCCACTCTCCTGAAAGCTCAGGCTTTTTGTGATAAGGAAAGTGAAGTGAAAATGTGCTGGGTGGTACCTTGGTTCTCAAACGCCTTGGAACCCAAACACTGCAAACCTGGAAGTAAGTGTTCCGGTTTGCGAACGTTTTTCGGAAGCCGAACATGCTCCATTTTGAGTGTTGCAGTGAGGTCTATCTGTTTTTGCTATTTAGTTTGCGTTTTTGTTTTTGTGGCTTTTTTTGACTGTGTGGAACCCAGTTCAGTGACCACAGCAAATTGTTTATTGCTTTCGTTTTATGGATCAATGGTTTCATTAGATAGTAAAATTCCATGTTAAATTGCTGTTTTAGGAGTTGTTTTTAAAAGTATGGAACGGATTAATCTGTTTTGCATTACTTTTGGAACGGACTTCCAGAACGGGTTAAGTTTGAGGACCAAGGTACCAGTGTGGGGATAATACTGGTTTTTGAGGCAGACGCTTCTAACCTCCTTGCAAGTAAATAAGGATAAACGCTCATGAAATAGCTGGTGTCGCCTGGCCTCCTCACAAGCAGGCAGGACGAATGCTCAAGAAACAGGCCACATGGAAGCATTATGTGGAGCATGAGAGTTGCATGGATGTCTCCCTTTGGGTGAGCTGCCGGGAATCCCCCTCCCCATTATTTTTTCCAGAGAGAAGGGCATGGAACCCACCAAACATGGTCTGGCCATCAAGTCTCAGAAGGGATCCCATGTGATAAGCGACTCAGCTTGTTCCTCTTACCTAAAGAGACTAGAAAGGCACCCAAAATGGCAACGATCAACAGATTACGGAACCTCATGGCTGGAGGGTCACCTGTGATCTCCGAGGAACTGGAACAAATGTGTAAACATAGATGAGGTCAACTGCTTGGCCAACAAGACCGGAGTAGCGGTGGGTGAAATAATAATCAGCATACATAACCTACAAAGTCCATTGTTCTCCCGGTGGAAAGGAGCCAACACGCCAGCGAACCCAAGAATTAAAGTCCTGTGTCCCTATTGGCTGAAGCAGGTCGTGTGAGAGATCTGGAATGTTCCATTGTTTTCTTCTCAGAGGATGGTTCACTTTGAATCGGCCGCTTGTTGACCACACAAGCCATCTCCAGGTACTCGCCGATTCAAATAAATGTAACAGATTGAGGTTGAATCCTGACAAGACAGAAGTACTGTTTTTGGGTGACAGGTGGTAACTGTGCCCCTGAAGGACCAGGTGCGCAGCCTGGGAGTCATTTTGGACTCACAGCTGTCCATGGAGGCGCAGGTTAATTCTGTGTCCAGGGCGGCTGTCTACCAGCTCCACCTGGTACACAGGCTGAGACCCTACCTGCCCGCGGACTGTCTGGCCAGAGTGGTGCATGCTCTAGTTATCTCCCGCTTGGACTACTGCAATGCGCTCTGTGTGGGGCTACCTTTGAAGGTGACCTGGAAAATGCAATTAATCCAGAATGCAGCAGCTAGATAGGTGACTGGGACTGGCCACCGGGACCACATAACACCGGTTCTGAGAAATCTGCATTGGCTCCCAGTACGTTTCTGAGCACAATTCAAACTGTTGGTGCTGACCTTTAAAGCTCTGAACGGCCTCGGTCCTGTATACCTGAAGGAGTGTCTCCACCCCCATCGTTCTGCCCGGACACTGAGATCCAGCGCCGAGGGCCTCTGGCGGTTCCCTCATTGCGAGAAGTGAGGTTACAGGGAACCAGACAGAGGGCCTTATCGGTAGTGACGCCCACCCTGTGGAACACCCTCCCTTCATATGTGAAGGAAATAAGCAGCTATCCTATCTTTAAAAGACATCTGAAGGCAGCTCTGTTCAGGGAAGTTTTTAATATTTAATGCTGCACTGTTTATAACACTTGATTGGGAGCCGCACTTTGCTTCTTCATGCTGTGCATCGTTCAAAAGCACTTTGCTTCTTCATGCTGTGCATCGGTAAACTATGGAACTCCCTGCCACAGCAGGCAGTGATGGATGGCTTTTAAAGAGGACTAGAGGGCTACCAAGGGACGTGGGTGGCGCTGTGGGTTAAACCGCAGAGCCTAGGACTTGCCGATCAGAAGGTCGGCGGTTCGGATCCCCACGACGGGGTGAGCTCCTGTTGCTCGGTTCCTGCTCCTGCCAACCTAGCAATTCGAAAGCACGTCAAAGTACAAGTAGATAAATAGGTACCACTCCGGCGGGAAGGAAAATGGTATTTCCATGCACTGCTCTGATTTGCCAGAAGCAGCTTAGTCATGCTGGCCACATGACCCGGAAGCTGTACGCCGGCTTCCTCGGCCAATGAGCGCCGCAAACCCAGAGTTAGCCACGACTGGACGTAATGGTCAGGGGTCCCTTTACCTTTAGAGGGCTACCAGCTATTATGGTTGAGCTCTGCTTCCACGGTGGGAGGCATCAATGTTTCTAACACAAATTGCTGGAGGGGAGAGGGCTCTTGTGCTTGGATGCTCCTTGCGGATTTCGCACAGCCACTGTAAGAACAGGATGCTGGACTAGACTGGCCATTGGCGCGATCCAGCCAAGTCTTATGTCTTTATGAATGTAAGTTCAGTGCCGTTTGCTAGGCAGCAACAGTGAGGAATCATAGAATTGGAAGGGACCCTAAGGGTCATCTAGTCCAACCCCCTGAAATGCAGGAATATGGCAGCTGTTTCAGACGGGGATCGAACTCAGAACCTTGGCATTATCAGCACCACGCTCTAACCGACTGAGCAATCCAGGGGCAGCTATTGCCTTACCGCCCTGTCTCTGGGCTTCTCCAGAGGCATCTGCTTGTGAGGGAAAAGGATGCTAGACAATTTATTTTTAATAATAATTTTTATTATTATTAGTAGTAGTAATAATAATAATAAAATTTTTTATTTATACCCCACCCTCCCCGGCCAGAGCCAGGCTCAGGGCGGCTAACATCAATAAAATTTCAGTAAAAACATAATAAGAAAAAAAGAAAAGGAAAAAAAACCCCCCAATTTAAAATACAGGTTAAAATGCAATTTAAAATGCAGCCTCATTTTAAAAGTCAAACTCTAAGGGGAGGGAAACATAGGGTTCAGACTGAGTCCAAACCAAAGTTTTCAGTTACAATCCAATAACAGCCTCATTATAACAATACCTATTTATAATACAATTACTAATTCCAATCGTTCAAATACCGAATTATATTATTTAGATAAAGTGGCCTCCCCCGTGTGCTAGAATTGATGGCTGATGGTTTTCTTTATTTCTGCGTTCCAAACTCTTATTAATTTTAATTACATTCCGGTCATAATAATAATCCCACTATACAACAACTGCTACTTTAATAACTTCTATTCCTGTTGACACATTAAATGATTTAGAAAGCTACAAGTGAGGCACTCAAACGATAACCTTGTTCTTCCTGTGTGTGGCAATTATTCTGTCTGTGGTGTTTCTTATGTACCGTATTTTTTGCTCTATAAGACTCACTTTTTCTCTCCTAAAAAGTAAGGGGAAATGTGTGTGCATCTTATGGAGCGAATGCAGGCTGCACAGCTATCCCAGAAGCCAGAACAGCAAGAGGGATCGCTGCTTTCGCTGCGCAGCGATCCCTCTTGTTGTTCTGGCTTCTGAGATTCAGAATATTTTTTTCTTGTTTTCCTCCTCCAAAAACTAGGTGTGTCTTATGGTCTGGTGTGTCTTATATAGCGAAAAATACGGTATTTCTTATGCATTTATTTATTGCATTCATATCCCACCTTTCCTCCGAAGAGCTCAAGTTGGCCTTTTCTCTCCCCTCTTCATTTGAATCCTCACAACAACCTTGTGAGGTAGGCTAGGCTGGGAGACTGGGACTGGCAGTGAGTTTCAATGCGAAATGGGGATTTGAACCCTGGTCTGTCAGATCCTTAGCCCAGCACATTAATTGCTGCACTATCCGGGCTCATGATAGCTAGGCCTTTGGTCTGATCCTGCAGGAGTCTTTATATCTTTTAAAATCGACCACACCCCACATATAAAAAAGCCTGTGGGTTTTTCTTGAAGATGCTTCTTCCTAGAACAAACCAGTTCTCCACTGTATGCCCCGGCCGCATCCTGGTGGTGTGTCAGGACAACATTGACTTCTACTCTTGAAGATGGGTGTTCCCTGCCCTGCAGAACTTGGCATCTTCTCCTCACAACATTTCCAAACTTTTCCCACTTCAGAGGCTAAGGAGGAGTTTGATGGAGGCACGCAGGCCAAATCTGGGTGTAGAGAATCTCCCGTTGCCTTCATAGGAGAGGAAGTGAGAAGGACAATCTAGACAAATAGATAGGGAGAGGATTAGAGGACCAGAAGGCCTTGCAAGCACCTAATATCCCTTCTAGGCAGAGATGAAAATTAATGCTATGCTTTTCCAGTTTCAATAGTGTAATCCAGTGGTTCCCTAACTTTTTTGAGCCACTGTCCAGAAGCTCAACCCCAGTACTCCCTACCTTATAAAAAGCATTACTGGATTAGAAATTTAACAACAACAACAAAAACCACCACCACCACCACAGCGGCTTCAACGACCAACTAAGGAAGATAAATAACACTCAAAACAGTAATAACAAATTACACATTTTCCCCAAATGCAATTAAAACTAGTTAATTAATTCAACCAAATTGATGGGCGTCATCCAGTGATACCAGCTTTTTCAAAGTCTGATAGTCATTTACACCGGCAGCACCCCCTGCCACCTCCCTTCTGACTAGCACCTGTTTTACTCTATGATTCTATGATAACTGGTATTTTTTTAAGATGGGGGCTCTTTTCTTCAGGCAAGCCCCCAAATTGCTGCCTGTATTTTGCACATAGAAGGTTCTGGGTTCAATCCACAGCATCTGCAGGGAGGGCTGAGAGAGACTCCTTCCCTACGATCTTGGAGGACTGCCAATAGTCAGTATTGACGGTACTGAACAGGCCACCTGGCTCAGGGCGGATCTACACTTGTTCTTTAGAACGTTAAAAATGCGTTATTAAATATGACACCAGAGGGCGCTGCAGAGCAGCAAGCCGCCAGCAATGGAAAACTGCTATTAAGCACTATAGAACATTATTTTTTAAAACATTTAGCAGGTCAGTGTAGATCCAGCCTCATTATATGCCAGCTTCCTATGTTCCTTCCCAATAGATGTGTTTAGGGGAAGGCCTGTAGCTCAGTGGTAGAACACCTGCACTGCTTGCAGAATGTCCCAGGTTCAATCCCTGTGTGATGGCCTGGGATTCAGACTCAGAGGCTGAACCTGAGGAATCCCAGCCTGCACAGGAGTCCCCGCCTCCAGAACCAGCTGAGCCGGGGCTGGGGCATGAGCCTGAAGGGTCCTCACCTGTGCTGGATCCTCAGGTGCAGGCACCAGCTGAGTCTGCTCTGGCTCCTGAGGTGATGGCGGACCCATTGCCTGCAGGTGCTCCACTCTCAGTCCCGTCAGAGGAAGCTGAGGTTGCCTCTGGGTCTGGTAACCCTCCAGCCTCTCCTGAGCTGCAGAGGGCAGAGAGGCGGAGGGAACTAAGTTCCCGCAGGAGGAGTGCTCACCTCCAGGCCAGGAGAGGCGAGTCACCTGTGGACTGGGGCCGCCCTATGCCTCGGGGCAGATAAAAGCCAGCCACCCCCCAGTCCCAGGTTGCGGGAGCAACATTGTTAGTAGCCTGTTCCCTCCTGTACCCTGTCCTGCTCTTCTGCCAGAGTTCCTGACCTCACCTGACTCCCTGCATTGGACCCTGCTTCAGCTTTGATGGACAGCCTCCATACCACACCCTCAACCTCGGACTGGACTCGGACCTCGCTGCACAGTTAACCCTTGGGACCAGCACACCCTGATAGACCTGGAAATGTCTCCTGCCTGAAACCTTGAAAAGATACCGCCAACCAGTTAGACAATACTGAGCTGGAAGGACCTATAGTCTGACTGTGCAGAAGATAGCTTCTCATGGTCCTGCGTTCCTAGGAATGGCCTTTGACTTTTTTTTTTTTTTTTAACAATTTCTGCCCCCAGCTTGGCAGCAGTTCCCCCATCACCACCCCACTTGTGTTCTGACTTTAGGCTGTTTTAGTTTTTCTGCTGCTTTATGTATTCCTGCTGTTTTCTTTTTTTATATATATAATTCAGTTTTTTATATTTTAAAAACATATATATCCAGCTGGTGCAGAATGCTGCGGCGGGACTCCTTACAGGATCCTCGTTGTGGGATCACATTCACCCAGTGCTATACCAGCTGCACTGGCTCCCGGTGGAGTACAGGATCAGGTTTAAGGTGCTGGTTTTAACCTTTAAAGCCCTATACGAGCTAGTACCCTCGTATCTACGGGACCGCCTCTCCTGGTATGTCCCACGGAGGACCTTAAGGTTTTCAAACAAAAACATATTGGAGGTAGGTTAGGCTGGCCTCAACCAGAGCCAGGGCTTTTTCGGCTGTGGCCCCGATCTGGCGGAACGGTCTGTCACAGGAGACTAGGGCCCTGCGGGACTTGACATCTTTCCACAGGGCCTGCAAGACAAAGCTGTTCCACCAGGCCTTTGGCCAAGGCACAGCCTGACTCCCTCCTTTGGTAATGCTCACAGAACTCTAGCCCAATGGTTGCCATTAATTTGATTTTGAATTGATTTTTTGGTTGCCATTAATTTGATTTTGAATTGATTTTAGAATGCTGTGTTACTTTTATTGTTGTTAGCTGCTCTGAGCCCAGCTTCAGCTGGGGAGGGCGGGATATAAATAAAATTGTATTATTATTATTATTATTTATTATAAATTAAGGAGAAAGACATGCAAGAACATAGAGGAAGCTGCAATACAAAGCAGGAGCTCAGTCAGTAGAGCATGAGACCTCTTAATCTCACGGTCATGGGTTTGAGCCCCACTTAGGCAAAAAAGATTCCTGCATTGCAGGGGGGGTAGGACTAGATGACCCTCGGGGTCCCTTGCTACTCTACAGTTCTGTGATTCTATGTACCAACTCACCAACACAACAGAGCTGAATGCCATCGTAGCAGCTCCCCTTCTCGATCTTCTGTGCAGGGCAGAGAGTGGGGTGGCAGGTCCCTTTGTCTTCGTGGCACTTCAGGGTGTCTCTTGAATGGCTGTGCCCTAAGGCAGGGAGAGATACGCAAAAGGGGTCAGTTCACGCACTGGCATGCAGAAGGGATGGGCTGCACGAGAGGCAAAGCAGCCATTTGAAGCAGCGTGTTCATAACGAAGAGCAGAAGAAGAGCCTACTGGATCAGGTCAATGGCCCTTAAGGCACACTAGGTCAAAGGAGGGAGACCCATGGCTCTCCAGAATATGCTGGATTGCATCCCCAATAATCTCTGAACACTGGTCATGCTAGCTAGAGTTGATGGAGCCTGGCAACATCTGGACCAGTGCTGGATTTACGTATAAGCTAAACAAACTTATAGCTTAGGACCCCCTCTCTTGGGGCCCCCCAAAAAGTTTAAAGGAGAAACAACAACTGGATGTACATTTCCAAAATATAAGATAAAAAACAAATAAAATAAAACCAACAGACAGCAACAGTGTTTTGTTTTTGTGTAGGCTCCTATGATGTAAGTCATGGGCCCCAGCTGCTAGCCTGCTCCCTAAAATATCACTGGTTTCCTCATTTCTTTATATAGGGTGCCTACATTCTGCTATTTATAATTCTTAGTAGTTTGCATCATTATATTTACACCTATTCTTATTTCATGTTATAGCAAGTTTCTAGAGACTAGATTATGAGCCTTTGTAAAATGTGTTTCTAAAGGAACTTTTGTTATTGCCAAATGCCAAGGTGTTTGCATTATTAAGTTTGTTATGAATGAAAAATCATATATATTAACTAAAAGTATATTAACTATTAATATACTTCTTCTTAATTGTATTTCACTATTAATATACGTCTTCTTAATTATATTTCAGTTCAACAATTACTTTGATAAAATACATATTTTGTTATGTGCAAATGGCTTTAGATACCTATTAGATCCATAAATTACCACACAGCATATATTCAACACAGAAAACAGCGACAATTTGTTGTTGACAAAGGACAGTTGGACATATAAAGGGCCCCATTCAGTAGCTTAGGGCCTTATCAAACCTAAATCGGACCCTGATCTGGAGCCACTGTCAACTGGCAGTGCTCACTTAGATAGAATCATAGAGTTGTGGAGCTGGAAGGGATGCCAAGATTCATCTAGACCAGGCTTCCACAAACTTGGCTCTCCAGATGTTTTTGGCCTACAACTCCCATGATCCCTAGCTAGCAGGACCAGTGGTCAGGGATGATGGGAAGTGTAGTTTCAAAACATCAGGAGGGTCGAGTTTGAGGAAGCCTGATCTAGTCCAACCCCCTGCAATGCAGGAATCTCAGCTCAACCTCTGCTTAAAAACCTTCAATGCTTTCCGTGTTCTTGATTCCCTGCATCGGACCTTTGATTGTAAGCCAGCGTTTGAACCTCGTATGAAGGACAGCATGGCAGTTTAACAACATAAAATAATAACAATAGTAAGAAATACCACCTACCTGGGGTTAAGGTGCAGAGAAGCAAGAACGCAACCGGGAAAAGAGACAGCATGATCCTCGTAGCCAGTTGATTTAGCAGCGGAGCAAGTCCCAGATGCATTCAGAGCCAAAATGTGTTGTGTCTCTGTGAAAAATAATGTATCTTGGGCCTTTTTAAAGGGATGGAAACCACTTTAGCTGTTTCCTGGTGGCTTAAGGGATTTGATTACAGCTGGAGATTTTACCTGCCTACAGGAACAGCACTGCTGAACAGAAAAAGTCATATAAACATGACAATAGACAAAGGTCACGTGTGAAGCCGGAGAAGAACTAATCTTCCTACAATGTCATCAGGGCTTCAGGATGGGGTGGAGTTTCTTGGGTGACTCAGTTGATAAGGAAGCAGAGACAAGCCTCCCTGAGGACGGGAATTCTGAAAGCTCAGTAAACTTTTGCTCATCATGGTGATAGGAAATGCGTCCTTTTAAACCTCCATGCGTCATTATGGCAAGAGGTGTTGAGAGATCTTTTGTCTGTGGTCATTCCAAATAACTGGTGCAGCTACCCTCTCTTGCATTTTCTTGGTCTACTAGATTCATTCGTATTATAACAGTTTAGGGTGCCCACACATAGCAAACACACAGGCCACAGAAAACCAATCCTTCACCCTTCAAATTTTAGGAAATATTCCTTTAGAAAAATCCCACATTATTTTAGCACACAGAACAATCCCAAAAGCCATCTTGGCTCTCCTAATTACTCTAAATAGAATCATAGAATCATAGAATCATAGAGTTGGAAGAGACCACAAGGGCCATCGAGTCCAACCCCCTGCCAAGCAGGAAACACCATCAGAGCACTCCTGACATATGGTTGTCAAGACTCTGCTTAAAGACCTCCAAAGAAGGAGACTCCACCACACTCCTTGGCAGCAAATTCCACTGTCGAACAGCTCTTACTGTCAGGAAGTTCTTCCTAATGTTTAGGTGGAATCTTCTTTCTTGTAGTTTGGATCCATTGCTCCGTGTCCGCTTCTCTGGAGCAGCAGAAAACAACCTTTCTCCCTCCTCTATGTGACATCCTTTTATATATTTGAACATGGCTATCATATCACCCCTTAACCTCCTCTTCTCCAGGCTAAACATGCCCAGCTCCCTTAGCCGTTCCTCATAAGGCATCGTTTCCAGGCCTTTGACCATTTTGGTTGCCCTCCTCTGGACACATTCCAGTTTGTCAATGTCCTTCTTGAACTGTGGTGCCCAGAACTGGACACAGTACTCCAGGTGAGGTCTGACCAGAGCAGAATACAGTGGCACTATTACTTCCCTTGATCTAGATGCTATACTCCTATTGATGCAGCCCAGAATTGCATTGGCTTTTTTAGCTGCCGCGTCACACTGTTGGCTCATGTCAAGTTTGTGGTCAACCAAGACTCCTAGATCCTTTTCACATGTACTGCTCTCAAGCCAGGTGTCCCCCATCTTGTATTTGTGCCTCTCATTTTTTTGCCCAAGTGCAATACTTTACATTTCTCCCTGTTAAAATTCATCTTGTTTGTTTTGGCCCAGTTCTCTAATCTGTCAAGGTCATTTTGAAGTGTGATCCTGTCCTCTGGGGTGTTAGCCACCCCTCCCAATTTGGTGTCATCTGCAAATTTGATCAGGATGCCCTTGAGTCCATCATCCAAGTCATTGATAAAGATGTTGAATAAGACCGGGCCCAAGACAGAACCCTGTGGCACCCCACTAGTCACTCTTCTCCAGGATGAAGAGGAACCATTGATGAGCACCCTTTGGGTTCGGTCAGTCAGCCAGTTACAAATCCACTGAGTGGTAGCATAGTCAAGACCACATTTTACCAGCTTCTTTACAAGAATATCATGAGGCACCTTGTCAAATGCCTTGCTGAAATCAAGGTAGGCTACATCCACTGCGTTCCCTTCATCTACCAGGCTTGTAATTCTGTCAAAAAACGAGATCAGGTTAGTCTGACATGACTTATTTTTCAGAAATCCATGCTGACTATTGGTGATCACAGCATTCCTTTCTAGGTGCTCACAGACTGTTTGCTTAATGATCTGCTCCAGAATCTTCCCTGGTATTGATGTCAGACTGACTGGGCGGTAATTATTTGGGTCCTCTCTTTTCCCCTTTTTGAAAATAGGGACAACATTTGCCCTCCTCCAGTCTGCCGGGACTTCGCCTGTTCTCCAGGAATTCTCAAAGATGACTGCCAGTGGTTCTGAGATCACATCTGCCAGTTCTTTTAATACTCTTGGATGCAGTTCATCTGGCCCTGGAGACTTGAATACATCTAAACTAGCCAAGTATTCTTGTACTATCTCCTTAGTTATTCTGGGCTGTGTTTCCTTTGCTGAATCATTTGCTCCAAATTCTTCAGGTCGGGCATTGTTTTCTTTATCCTCTGCAGAAGGAAATATCTTGGAGAAACCTTCCCTAGTAGTTTTTTTCACTTACAAATTCTTCAGATCCTGTTTTAAAGGCATATTTTGTATGAATGGGATATGCTTGTGGACCTGGATT